GGATGGGGGGACGGGGGGATGGGAGGATGGGGGGACGGGAGGATGGGAGGACGGGAGGATGGGAAGACGGGGGATGGGAGGATGGGGGGACGGGAGGATGGGAGGATGGGAGGATGGGAGGATGGGGGGACGGGAGGACGCTTGCTAAAGAGATGGGGATAGTTACATGTCATAGATACGTGTGTGTGTGTGTGTCTGTGTGTGTGTGTTTCTGTGTGTGTGTCTCTCTGTGTCTGTGTGTGTGTCTCTCTGTGTCTGTGTGTGTCTCTTTGTGCGTCTGTGTGTGTATATGTGTGTGTGTTTATGTGTGTGTGTGTCTATGTGTGTGTGTCTATGTCTATGTGTGTGTGTCTCTCTGTGTGTGTTTATGTATGTGTGCGTGTGTCTGTGTGTGTGTCTTTGTCTATATGTGTGTGGGTCTCTGTGTGTGTGTGTCTCTGTGTGCATGTGTCTATGTGTGTGTGTCTGTGTATCTATGTGCTTGTGTCTGTGTGTGTGTCTGTGTGTGTGTCTGTATGTGTGTGTGTGTCTATGTGAGTGCGTTTATGTGTGTGTGTCTCTCTGTGTCTGTGTGTCTCTCTTTGTGCGTCTGTGTGTGTGTCTCTGTGTGTGTCTGTGTGTGTGTCTGTGTGCCTGTCTGTGTGTGTCTATGTAGGTGTGTCTGTGAGTGTCTGTGTGTATATGTCTCTGTGTGTGTGTGTCTGTTGTGTCTATGTGTGTGTCTGTCTATGTGTGTCTCTCTGTGTGTGTTTATGTTTATGTGCGTGTGTCTGTGTGTGTGTATATTTGTCTATGTGTGTGTGGGTCTTGTGTGTGTGTGTGTCTGTGTGTGTGTGTTTATGTGTGTCTGTGCGTGTGTTTCTGTGTGTGTCTGTGTGCGTGTGTCTATGTGTGTGTGTGTGTCTATGTGTGTGTGTCTCTGTGTGTGTGTTTATGTGTGTCTGTGCGTGTGTTTCTGTGTGTGTCTGTGTGCGTGTGTCTATGTGTGTGTGTGTGTCTATGTGTGTGTGTCTCTGTGTGTGTGTTTATGTGTGTGTCTCTCTGTCTGTGTGTGTCTTTGGTGCGTCTGTGTGTCTGTATGTGTGTGTGTCTGTGTATGTGTGTGCCTGTGTCTGTCTGTGTGTGTGTCTGTGTGTCTCAGTGTGCGTCTGTGTGTGTGTGTCTATGTGTGTGTGTGAGTGTCTCTGTGTGTGTGTGTGTCTGTTGTGTCTATGTGTGTGTCTATGTGTGTCTCTGTGTGTTTATGTGTGTGTGTGCGTGTGTCTGTGTGTGTCTTTGTCTATGTGTGTGTCTGTGTGCGTGTTTATGTGTGTATCTCTGTGTGTGTTTGTCTGTGTGTGTGTGTCTGTGTGTTTATGTTGTGTGTCTCTCTGTGTGTGTTTGTGTGTGTCTGTGTGCGTGTCTTTGTGTGAGTGTTATGTGTATGTGTGTCTATGTGTGTGTGTTTATGTGTGTGTGTCTCTCTGTGTATGTTTATGTGTGTGTGCGTGTCTGTGTGTGTGAGTTTATGTGTGTGTGCGTGTGTCTATGTGTGTGTGTCTGTGTGTATCTATGTGTATGTGTCTCTCTGTGTCTGTGTGTGTCTGTGTGTGTCTCTTGTGTGGGTGTCTGTGTTTATGTGTGTGTGTTTGTCTATGTGTGTGTGTGTCTGTGTGCGTGTGTCTATGTGTGTCTGTGTGTATCTGTATGTGTGTGTGTGTCTATGTGTGTGTGTTTATGTGTGTGTGGCTATGTGTGTGTGTGTCTCTCTGTGGGTGTTTGTGTGTGTGCGTGTCTGTGTGTGTGAGTTTATGTGTGTGCGCGTGTGTCTATGTGTGTGTCTGTGTGTATCTATGTGTATGTGTCTCTCTGTGTCTGTGTGTGTCTCTTGTGTGGGTGTCTGCCGCTCCGCGGTCACTTCCCCTCCAACTTCCACCCACCACCCACCCCTTCCCTCCCACACTCCGACTCCTACCCATCCTCCCCTACACACCTTCGTACCCGTTTCCCCACCCTCTGTCACTGAACTCATCCTATCCCTAAAACCAACCACCTGCTCCCTTGACCCCATCCCCACTCCACTCCTTATCTCCCAGCTCCATTTTCTTGCCCCACACATCACTGACATCATAAACCTGTCCCTCTCCTCTGGCTCTGTCCCCATTCCATTAAAAACTGCCATCATCACGCCCACCCTGAAAAAACCCTCCCTTGATGCGTCGCAGCTATCAAGCTACCGGCCCATCTCCAACCTCCCCTTTCTCTCCAAGGTCTTGGAAAGAGTTGTCGCCTCCCAACTGCGCTCTTTCCTCTCCACCCATTCTCTTTTTGAACCCCTTCAGTCAGGTTTCCGTGCTGCTCATAGCACAGAAACTGCCCTGGTCAAGGTCACCAATGATATCCTGACCATCTGTGACCAGGGCTCCCTCTGTCTCCTCGTCCTCCTCGACCTATCGGCAGCATTCGATACGGTCGACCACGCTATCCTACTCCACCGCTTGTCCTCCCACCTCAACCTTCAAGGCACTGTCCTTGAATGGTTTAGCTCTTACCTTTCCCACCGTCTTCACTTCGTCTCAACGAATGGCTTCTCCTCCACCCCCCGTACTGTCTCATGTGGTGTCCCTCAGGGCTCTGTCCTCGGTCCCCTCCTCTTCACCCTCTATATGCTCCCCCTCGGTGACATCATCCGCAACATGGGGTTAACTTCCACATGTATGCGGATGACACCCAACTCTACCTTTCCTCCTCTACTCTCAACTCCACGACCACCGATGTCCTGACAGCCTGCCTGTCCGACATCGAGTCCTGGACGAGAGACAACTTTCTTCAGCTCAACGTGCGAAAAACCGAGGCCCTCCTGATTGGCTCACGTCAGCGCCTCCGCACCTCAGGCGCTGACACCATCAGCATCCAAGGCTGCACTCTCCACCTCTCAAAGCCAGTCAGGAACCTCGGCGTTTTGTTCGACCCTGAGCTGTCCTTTCTCCCTCACATCCGCACCACAACTGGCACCGCCTTCCATCACCTCCGGAACATCGCCAGACTACGGCACTACCTCACCCCTCACGCTGCTGAAACCCTGGTTCACGCCTTTGTCACCTCAAGGCTGGACTATGGGAACTCTCTCCTCGCCGGCCTTCCCGCCACCTCCCTCCACAAGCTGCAGGTCATTCAGAACTCTGCAGCTCGTGTACTGTCCCGCACCAGGCTTCGGGACCACATCACTCCCACCCTCGCTCGCCTCCACTGGCTCCCCATCCCCCAGAGGATTGATTTCAAGATCCTCATCCTCACCTACAAGGCCATTCACGGCCTTGCTCCCTCCTACCTCTCCAACCTACTATCCCCCTACCTACCTGCCCGTACCCTCCGTTCCTCTGGCTCCGGTCTGCTCCACGTCCCCCGCCCCAACCGCCCTACTATCGGTGGTCGGGCCTTCAGCCTCTCAGCCCCGAGGCTCTGGAACTCCATCCCCCAGTGCCTTCGCCGCTTCCTCCCTTTCCTCCTTCAAGGCCGGTCTCAAAACCTTTCTCTTTGACCGTGCCTTCAGCTCCCCTCTCGACTCTCTTCCTCCTCCTCGCTCCCTCCCTTCCCTCCCCTCACCCTGACCATTTCCCCCCTCCTCTCTCCCTCCCTTCCCTCCCCTCACCCTGACCATTTCCCCCAATGCTCGGGTCATGACCCAACTGTGCAGCGCCTTGGGACGTCCTCCTGACGTGAAAGGCGCTCTATAAATGGAATCTTGTTGTTGTTGTTTATCTGTGTGTGTGTTTGTCTATTTGTGTGTGTCTGTGTGTGTGTCTGTATGTGTGTGTCTCTCTGTGTGTTTATGTGTGTCTATGCGTGTGTTTATGTGTGTGTTTGTCTATGTGTGTGTGTCTGTGTGCGTGTATCTATGTGTGTGTGTGTCTGTGCGTCTATGTCTGTGGTCTATGTGTGTGTGTCTCTGTGTGTCTATGTGTATGTGTCTCTCTGTGTGTGTCTGTGTGTGTCTCTTGTATGGGTGTCTGTGTGTGTGTTTGTCTATGTGTGTGTGTCTGTGTGCGTGTGTCTATGTGTGTCTGTGTGTGTCTGTATGTGTGTGTGTGTCTATGTGTGTGTGTTTATGTGTGTGTGTCTCTCTGTGGGTGTTTGTGTGTGTGTGAGTTTATGTGGAGTCCTGTAGCTCAGTGGTTAGAGCACTCGCTTTGCAAGTGAGAGACCTGAGTCCAATCCCAGGCAGAGGGCGAAACCTTGGGCAAGTTTCCTTACTCCACACAGAGCCTAATAATAATCCTCCAAACCCCAAACAATAATAAATTGGTCATTTTCAATCTACGACTGTTTGTGGGACATTGCTGTGCGCAATTGGCTGCCGCGTTCGCCCACAAATATACAGTCAATTCACTTTACAGTGTGTTCTGTGAAGCGCTTTGGGACGTCCTCCTGACGTGAAAAGCGCTATATCAAATGCAAGGATTATTATTATTATTATTATGTGTGTGTGCGTGTGTCTATGTGTGTGTGTCTGTGTGTATCTATGTGTATGTGTCTCTCTGTGTCTGTGTGTGTCTGTGTGTGTCTGTGTGTGTCTCTTGTGTGGGTGTCTGTGTGTGTGTTTATGTGTGTGTGTTTGTCTATTTGTGTGTGTCTGTGTGCGTGTGTCTATGTGTCTGTGTATGTGTGTGTGTCTGTGTGTGTGTCTGTATGTGTGTCTCTCTGTGTGTTTATGTGTGCGTGTGTCTATGTGTGTGTGTCTGTGTGTGTCTATGTCTGTGTGTGTGGGTCTATGTGTGTGTGTCTGTGTCTCTGTGGGTGTGTCTCTGTGTATCTGTGGCTCAGTCACTGTGTGTGTGTGTGAACGGTCCTCGCGCTGTGATTGGTTGCGTGCGGCTGACGTCATGACGCTGTGTGCGTGGCGGTGGCGCCGCGCGGGGACAGCGCCGTCAGTCAGTCACTCACTCCCTCACACACCGACCGACCGACCGCGGCCCCGACACCCGGGGAGGGAGAGCGGGAGGCGGCGGCGCGGGGCGGACATGGAGAGCGTCCCCGAGGAGACACCGGGAGGCGCGGCCTCTCCGCAGAAAACCGCCCACAGCGGCGGGACGGCCGAGTCCGGGCCGCAGCCCGAGCGGGTGGACGGTGCCCCTGAGGGGGAGCGGTCAGCAGTCCACCTGCCCCCGGGACCCCCGACCGCCCCCCGCGACCCCCCCGGCGGCCGCCGCTCTCAGCCCGACGGCGACTTGATCGACTTCACCCGCCCCCCCGAGCCGGCGGCGGGGGGGTCCGAGGCCGAGGCCGAGCCGGCGGCGGGGGGGTCCGAGGCCGAGGCCGAGCCGGCGGCGGGGGGGTCCGAGGCCGAGCCGGCGGCGGGGGTCCGAGGCCGAGCCGGAGCGGCGGGGGGACGAGGACCACTCGCGGATCAAAGCGCTCGCGTGTCGGCTCCGCGGCGCTGAGGGCAGCGCGGGCCCGGAGGCCGCCCCGGAGGCCGCGGAGCGCGTGCGGCCCGAGAGCGGTGCAGCGGGAGGGCCGGAGGGCGGGTGGCAGCCCCTCGCGGGGGTCGGCGGGGACACACCGCGGGACCGCAGCCCCTCCCCGTCCGGCGGCGGAGGGCCTCCTCCTCCTCCTCGGGGGGCGGACGGGAGACCCGATGTCGGGGCGGACCGGGAACTCGAGTCCGACCGAACCCTCCGCCGGGACCTGATCTCTTGGGCGAGCGACGAGCACTTGTGCAGCGGTTCGGGCGGTGATCACTTGACTCCTGAGCGCGATGGCGAAGCTGATGGAAGACCTGTAACGCCGGAGGGAGTGTGCGGTCGGGCGGAAACTCCCGGGGACCGGGTCTCCCGCGGAGCCGCGACCACCGCCGCGGACTCCTCACCCGAGGGCCGGGCAGCTCCGGACCTCCGTGTCCACGGCTCCCCAACGGGTGGAGGAGACCCCTCGCTTGACCCCCGGCCGCCGTGTGGCCGGACCCCGCTGGGGAGGGACTGGGAGAGGCAGGGCCGGGCCTTGTCGTTGGCTGTTCGGGAGTTAAAGGAGGAGGTGGAGAGCATCAGCGAGTGCTTTCCGGCTGACGGTGCGGCTGAAGCTGTGGGGCCGGAGAGTCGGGGGCTGTGCCCGGAGGGAGGCAGCGAACAGGCACTGCCTGACCGGGAGGTACGTGGAACAGCGCGTGGAGAGGGCTCTGCCTTTCACCTTCTGCATTGGAGGCGCTCTCCAACCAACACAACAGTCACGTTGTGAAGCGCCTTTCAAATCGGACGTCCCGAGGCGCTGAGCTGTCAGGGATTAGGGTGGGGGGGGGGGGGGAGGGGGGGGTTGGGATCCGGGGAGGGGGGAGAGGGTAGGAGGGAGAGGGTAGGAGGGAGGGAGGGAGCGCGGCCGAAAGCACAGTCGAAGAGGAGGGCCTTGAGGCGGTCAAGTCTCCTCACTCCGCACACGGCCCTAATAATAATCCCTCAAAAAAAAACAATAATGAATTGGTCATTTACAATAATAATAATAATAATCTTTTCATTTGATATAGTGCTTTTCACGTCGGGAGGACGTCCCAAAGCGCTTCACAGAACACACTGTAAAGTGAATTGACTGTATATTTGTGGGCGAACGCGGCAGCCAATTGCGCACAGCAATGTCCCACAAACAGTCGTAGATTGAAAATGACCAATTTATTATTGTTTTTGGTTTTGGAGGGATTATTATTAGGCTCTGTGTGGAATAAGGAAACTTGCCCGAGGTTTCGCCCTCTGCCTGGAATTGAACTCAGGTCTCTCACTTGCAAAGCGAGTGCTCTAACCACTGAGCTACAGGACTCCACAAATCCCCGACTCTGCGGGGACGCTGCTGCGCGCAATTGGCCGCCGCGTTTCACCCACAAACATACAGTCAATTCACTTCACGGTCTATTCTGTGAAGCGCTTTGAGACGCCGAGAAGACGTGAAAGGCACTATATCGAATGCGAGGATTGTTATCGTTGAAGGAGGCAACAAAGGGAGCGATGCGAAGGGAATGTGGGATGGAGTTCCAGAGGGCAGCTGTCCTCAAGTGAATGAGTCCCTATAATGAAAGTATCTTAACTCTCCTCTTGCTCCCTCATTCCCGATACAATGGCCACACTAAACCATATGCTATATGCAGGATGTGGCGTATTGTAGCACAGTGGTTAGAGGACTCTCCTCGCAAGTGAGAGGATCCGGGTTGGATTCCTACAGTGTGAAACCTTAGGCAAGTTTCCTAACTCCACACGCTTCTGTTTACTAGCAACCAGGTTGTTAGTCGATTGACACATCGCTTTTCCGGGGGTAATAATCCCTTCAAAAATAATAATTTGGTCACTCAATCCACCACTATTTGTGGGACACTGTTGTGCGTAATTGGCTGCCAAAATATACAGTCTATTCACTTTGCAGTATATTCTGTGTAAAGTTTTGAGACGTCTCAATTATGTGATAAGGCGCTATATCAAATGCAAGGATTATCGTTGGCTGACCTCAGCTGGGGCAGTAGTTGTGGCTATAATTGGCTTTTAAACCGCTGGATTTAGGAGGCGACAGATCAGCCAGGGTTTCCATTCCAGGTTTTACGTCCTGATATTTTCGCTTAGCAATTGCATCTATCCCCAGGCGTCTGGATAGCAATCGGGAGTTATAAACCCTCCCGAGTCCAAAGGAGCTGAGGTTAAGGTAGCGTGAACTGCTGCAAACTCAGCAACGACCAAAGATCGAAAAGGAACCTCCCTATTCTGTGTGTGTCAGCTGGTCACCGAATAATTGTCATGAGACTCACACACATTATTATAATAATAATAATACAAATAATCTTTGGATTTGATATAGTGATATAGTGCTGATATAATGTTGTTGAGACATCTCCAAGCACTTCACAGAATATACTGTAAAGTAAACTGAGTGTTTGTATTTGTAGTTGAATCATCACTGAGTCATCAGAGTCAATCTCATCACCTAAAATTAGATTGATTTTAAAACTTCTGTTTTAGCATATTAAAACCCCCAATTTTTCTTTCAGAGAAAGAAGAAATTATTGTTCCCTGCTTTTAAGGAAGGTAAGCTGGTTTGACTTGGATGATCTATACATTTTTTTTGTGTGCAGTTGGTGTAGAGTAAATCAGCATCAGATTTCTCTGTCTCGCAGAACAAATCTGCCGCTACAACTAATGCTAGGAACTTGCTGCATGAGGAGTTAGGGACGTAAGCTCATGCACCGGTTCAGTTTCCATTCCCCTAAAAACAGCCGTCATCACCCCCATCTTGAAAAAATCCTTCCTGGACCCATCCCTTCTCTCCGCCCCATCTCTAACCTCCCATTCCTCTCCAAGGTCCTGGAACGAATCATCGCGTCCCAACTCCGCTCCTCCCTCTCTTGTCATTCCCTCTTTGAACCCCTCCAATCCGGCTTCCACGCTGCCTACAGCACGGAAACAGCCCTGGTCACAGTCACTAATGACACTGAATATCTGTGATCAGGGCTCCCTCTGCCTCCTTGTCCTCCTCGATCTCTCTGCCGCCTTCGTCACTGTCGATCACTCCATCCTCATACACCGTCTCTCCGCTTTACTCAATCGTCGTGGACCTGCCTTTGCCTGGTTCAATTCCTATCTCTCTCACTGTCTCCACCTTGTTGCCTCTAATGATTTCTCCTCCAGCCCCTGCACTGTCACGTTTGGCGTCCCCCAGGGCTCTGTCCTTGGCCCTCTCCTCTTTAATATCTACACGCTCCCCCTGGGACATGGGGTCAACTTCCATATTTATGTGGATGACACCCAACTCTTATCTTTCAGCCTCCACCCTCAACTCCATGACCACTGTTGTCCTGACAGACAAAATTTCCTACAGTTGAATGTGAACAAGACTGAGACCCTCCTGATTGCTCGCGTCAGCGCCTCAGCACCTCAGACTCTGTCAGCATCAACCTCCATGGTTGCACACTTCAACTCACCAGCCAGTCAGGAACCTAGGGTCCAACTCTCAACTATCTTTTCTTCCCCACAACCAAGCTATGACCCGCTCTGTCTTCCCTCACCTCAGTAACATCGCCCGACTCCGCCACCACCTCACCCCTCAGGCCGCTGAAACTCTTGTTCATGCCTTCATCACCTCCAGGCTCGAACTATGCAAACTCCCTGCTTGTCGGCCTTCCCAACCACTCCCTCCACAGACCTCAGATAATCCAGAACTCTGCAGCCCGTGTCCTCTCCCGCACCAAACTCCGTGACCCCATCCAGAACTCTGCACCCCATCTCCCCCACTCTCCCCCGACTCCATTGGCTCCCTATCCTTCAGAGGATCCAGTTCAAGATCCTGGTTCTCACCTATAAAGCCCTCCATGGCCTCGCCCCACCCACCTCTGCGACCTCCTAACCCCCTACCAACCCGCCCGCTCCCTCCGCTCAGCCGGCTCTGGCTGTCTGGCTGCTCCATGTCCCCCGACCCACCCGCCCCACCATTAGGGGAGAGCCTTCAGCCACTCTGCCCCCAACCTCTGGAAGTCCATCCCCCAGTCACTTCGCCTCGCCCCCTCCTTAGCCTCTTTCAAGTCCCGCCTCAAGACCCTCCTCTTTGATCATTGGCCACCCCGCCTTCCCCGCTCCTCCTTCTCCCCACCCCGACCCCAGCTTGGGTCTGAAATGCTGTACACTTCCAGTGCCTTGGGACGTCCTCCCGACTTGAAAGGCGCTATACAAATTAATCATGTTATTGGTGTCTTGTCACTTAGTGGTCCTGATTGGCTCACGTCAGCGCCTCCGCACCTCAGGCGCTGACACCATCAGCATCCAAGGCTGCACTCTCCACCTCTCAAAGCCAGTCAGGAACCTCGGCGTTTTGTTCGACCCTGAGCTGTCCTTTCTCCCTCACATCCGCACCACAACTGGCACCGCCTTCCATCACCTCCGGAATATCGCCAGATTACGGCACTACCTCACCCCTCACGCTGCTGAAACCCTGGTTCACGCCTTTGTCACCTCAAGGCTGGACTATGGGAACTCTCTCCTCGCCGGCCTTCCCGCCACCTCCCTCCACAAGCTGCAGGTCATTCAGAACTCTGCAGCTCGTGTACTGTCCCGCACCAGGCTTCGGGACCACATCACTCCCACCCTCGCTCGCCTCCACTGGCTCCCCATCCCCCAGAGGATTGATTTCAAGATCCTCATCCTCACCTACAAGGCCATTCACGGCCTTGCTCCCTCCTACCTCTCCAACCTACTATCCCCCTACCTACCTGCCCGTACCCTCCGTTCCTCTGGCTCCGGTCTGCTCCACGTCCCCCGCCCCAACCGCCCTACTATCGGTGGTCGGGCCTTCAGCCTCTCAGCCCCGAGGCTCTGGAACTCCATCCCCCAGTGCCTTCGCCGCTTCCTCCCTTTCCTCCTTCAAGGCCGGTCTCAAAACCTTTCTCTTTGACCGTGCCTTCAGCTCCCCTCTCGACTCTCTTCCTCCTCCTCGCTCCCTCCCTTCCCTCCCCTCACCCTGACCATTTCCCCCTCCTCTCTCCCTCCCTTCCCTCCCCTCACCCTGACCATTTCCCCCCTCCTCGCTCCCTCCCTTCCCTCCCCTCACCCTGACCATTTCCCCCCTGCTCGGGTCATGACCCAACTGTGCAGCGCCTTGGGACGTCCTCCTGACGTGAAAGGCGCTCTATAAATGGAATCTTGTTGTTGTTGTTGTTGTTGTAACACATTTACTAACACATTTCGTGGAGTCCTGTAGCTCAGTGGTTAGAGCACTCGCTTTGCAAGTGAGAGACCTGAGTTCAATTCCCGGCAGAGGGCGAAACCTTGGGCAAGTTTCCTTACTCCACACAGAGCCTAATAATAATCCCTCCAAAACAAAACAATAATAAATTGGTCATTTTCAATCTACGACTGTTTGTGGGACATTGCTGTGCGCAATTGGCTGCTGCGTTCGCCCACAAATATACAGTCAATTCACTTTACAGTGTGTTCTGTGAAGCGCTTTGGGACGTCCTCCCGACGTGAAAAGCGCTACATCAAATGCAAGGATTATTATTATTATTACTAATTGCACTTGTGTGGTGCAGGGTTGATTGCAACAACTGGTGGATTCATTGTCAAGTGTTTCCAACATTAGATCATTCAAATATTGTGGGTTTGTTTTGGATAGCGGTGTTCCGACATGTGCAGAAAATGCGCGGTATGCTTAAGAGTATCTAAACCAGATCGAGCATCCTATATATGTGGGCCACCTACACGTAGAAATGTTCCATCTGTCTGGGATTAAGTGCTCACTCTCTCCTAGAGGTGCACCTAATTACCTAATTGTAGAATGAATTGGGCGTAGGTTGGCAGGAGCTAAAGCTTAAAGACCTCCAGAATGTCACTAGTTTATCATTAAACATCGAACAAATACAGGTATGAGCCCTTATTAGGTGGAGAGTAGGTACCAGGTACCTTGTGGACCTTTTGGTGAGAGGTACAGCTCAGTATATGTCCACATATCTGGGTGTGTGGTGGGGAGGGTTTTGTATAAGAGTCGAGAGTAGGAACTTAATTTCCCTACTCCCTAATCCAGAGGCACTTGTAGCCCAAACTACTGTTCCAGCCGAGATTAGCTAACCCAGCACCGACAGTGTTTGAACCTGTGACTCTGGTTTGTATTTTCTAGTGCGGTGCTTTTACCCCTTAATCGAGGGAAAAATCGCAAAGGTATTTCTAAAGAGTGACCTAAACAAATAATAAGCACAAATAAATATTATTATCCTTTTCTATTCCTTTCTGAAGTGTCTGGACCCTGTGAGTCGGAGGACCTCCTGGATGGAATCTTATTTGCAGCGAATTACCTTGGGTCGACCCAGCTGTTCTCTGAGAAAAACCCATCGACCATTGTGCGAATGGCACAAGCGCAGGAGGCAGTGGGCAGGATAAAGGTAATGATTATAGTGGTAATGAAACATATAGACCTGCTGCCAGTGTCTTCCTGCAAGTCAATGCGATTTCTGGTTCCAGTAGACTCCTGATAACTCGACCCTGGGTTAACTTATCATTACTACCTAAGCCATTGTGCTTTCAATATCCCAGCACATTTATTTATGTATTTATATATACTTCTAACCCGCCGTTCCGGATAACTAGTCAGTGAACTCCTTTCCTTTGGAGTTTACTGTATTGTAATAATACATTTTTTAAAAACTCAATCATAGAGGTTGAAGCACAGAAGGGGGCCACTTGGCACATTCAGCCGATGCTGATGGAAGCTCCTCCATGGGAGCTAACTATTATTCTATCACAAATTCCTTGTCCTTTTATATTTACTCTTATATTTTTCTATGTTGCATTGGTCTTAGCTTCAATAACAACTGATGGCAAAACATTCCAGGTTCTAATAATTCTCTGCCCCATCGCACCTTGACAACAACAACAACAACAAGATTCCATTTATAAAGCGCCTTTCACGTCAGGAGGACGTCCCAAGGCGCTGCAGAGTTGGGTCAGGACCCGAGCAGGGGGAAATGGTCAGGGTGAGGGGAGCGAGGAGGGGGGAAATGGTCAGGGTGAGGGGAGGGAAGGGAGGGAGCGAGGAGGGGGAAGAGAGTCGAGAGGGGAGCTGAAGGCTCGGTCAAAGAGAAAGGTTTTGAGACCGGCCTTGAAGGAGGAGAGGGAGGAAGAGGCAAAGGCACTGGGGATAGAGTTCCAGAGCCTCGGGGCTGAGAGGCTGAAGGCCCGACACCGATGGTAGGGCGATTGGGGCGGGGGATGTGGAGCAGACCGGAGCCGGAGGAACGGAGGGTACGGGCAGGTAGGTAGGGGGATAGTAGGTTGGAGAGGTAGGAGGGAGCGAGGCCGTGAATGGCCTTGTAGGTGAGGATGAGGATCTTGAAATCAATCCTCTGGGGATGGGGAGCCAGTGGAGGCGAGCGAGGGCGAGGGTGGGAGTGATGTGGTCGCGGTGTCTGGTGCGGGACAGTACACGAGCTGCAGAGTTCTGAATGACCTGCAGTGTGGAGGGAGGTGGCGGGAAGGCCGGCGAGGAGAGAGTTCCCATAGTCCAGCCTTGAGGTGACAAAGGCGTGGACCAGGGTTTCAGCCGCGTGAGGGGTGAGGTAGTGCCGTAATCTGGCGATGTTCCGGAGGTGATGGAAGGCGGTGCCAGTTGTGGTGCGGATGTGAGGGAGAAAGGACAGCTCAGGGTTGAACAAAACGCCGAGGTTCCTGACTGGCTTTGAGAGGTGGAGAGTGCAGCCTTGGATGCTGATGGTGTCAGCGCCTGAGGTGCGGAGGCGCTGACGTGAGCCAATCAGGAGGGCCTCGGTTTTTCGCACGTTGAGCTGAAGAAAGTTGTCTCTCGTCCAAGACTCGCCGGCCTTCCCGCCGCGGTGGAGGAGGATAGCGTGGTCAACCGTATCGAATGCTGCCGATAGGTCGAGAAGGACGAGGAGGCAGAGGGAGCCCTGGTCACAGATGGTCAGGATGTCATTGGTGACCTTGACCAGGGCAGTTTCTGTGCTATGGGCAGCACGGAAACCTGACTGAAGGGGTTCGAAGAGTGAATGGGTGGAAAGGAAAGAGCGCAGTTGGGAGGCGACAACTCTTTCCAGGACCTTGGAGAGAAAGGGGAGGTTGGAGATGGGCCGGTAGCTTGATAGCTGCGACGCATCAAGGGAGGGTTTTTTCAGGGTGGGCGTGATGATGGCAGTTTTTAAGGGAATGGGGACAGAGCCAGAGGAGAGGGACAGGTTGACGATGTCGGTGATATGTGGGGCAAGAAAGTGGAGCTGGGAGATAAGGAGTGGAGTGGGGATGGGGTCAAGGGAGCAGGTGGTTGGTTTCAGGGATAGGATGAGTTTGGTGACAGAGGGTGGGGAAACGGGTACAAAAGTGAGTAGGGGAGGATGGGTAGCAGTCGGAGTGTGGGAGTGAGGGGGTGGGAGGTTGGTGGATGTTGGAGGGGAAGTGACCGCGGAGCGGATTCCCTTGATCTTGGATTCAAGGAAATCCAGCATCTCCTCGCAGTGAAGGTTGGAGGAGATGACCTGCGCGGGGTGGCGGGGGGGACGGAGGAGTCGGGTTGTGGTGGAAAACAGTAGCCTGGGGTTGTTCTTCGCCTCCAGGATTATCCTGGAGTAGAAGGACGACTTGGCCGAGGCTAGAGTGGAGCGGTAAATTTTGAGGAGGTCCAGCCAGATTTGTCGGTGGACCGTTAGGCCAGATTTGACACAGGTGCGTTCAGCGGCCCGCACCTGGCTTTTCAGTGAGCGGAGGTGGGTGGTGTACCAGGGGGAGGAGCGGGGGTAGGAGACAGTGCGGGAAGTGATGGGGGCAAGAGTATCGAGTGTGGAGGAGAGGGTATTGTGGAGGAGGGAGAGAGGAGAAGAGGGGTCGGTGAGGGTTGAAGGCCAGAGGGAGAGGAGTTCAGAGGACTCCAAGGCATCGGTTAGGGATTGTGGGTGTAACTTCTTCCAAGGGCAGTAGAAGTTTACATTCTGACCTTATATCTGAGTTAAATTACAATTTGGTTACATGTAAACTGAATGTGAGGTTAACCCTGCTGTGTTTTTTTTGTTCAGGCACCAGAAGGAGAATCGCAGCCTATGACGCAAGTGGATCTCTTTATTTCCACTCAACGAATTAAAGTGCTGAATGCAGATTCTCAGGTAAATAGAGCCAGTTGCGCAAGACAAATCAAGAGGCTTAATTAAGGCTTTTGGCGGATTGCTTTTCCGGTATTAATAATCCCTCAAAATAATAACAATTTGGTCACTCAGTGGATGACTGTTTGTGGGACACTGCTGTGCACAATTTGCTGCTCCGTTTCTCCCACAAAATATACAGTCAAATTTATTTTACAGCGTATTCTGTGAAGCGCTTTGAGACGTCTCAACAGCGTGATAAGGCGCTATATCACCTTTAAGGATTATTATTATTACAAGGCATATTTAACACAAACAAATAGCACATGGGTTTATTTAACTGAAGAAACATTTGATGCACTTAGTAGCTGACTACGCAGAGTTGCCTTGATGTCTGACATATAATCAATGGTGTTCTCTGCAGGAAGCCCTGATGGATCACTCTCTGCAAACCATCTCATATATCGCTGATATTGGAACTATCATTGTCCTGATGGCTCGTCGCCGAATACCACGCAAAGCTACAGCCCCGGAAACCTCCAGCCCATCACTTGAAAAACAAGAGTATAAGATGATTTGTCACGTCTTTGAGTCTGCAGATGTGAGTGTTCTTTTCAGAAGGAGATGGCTTCTCTCACCTCTGGGGCAATGTATTCACTATAGACCTGTTTGGGTTCAGAAACAAATAGCAGGTGATTGTAGAGGCCAAGTGAATGGCTGGCATGTTTACAGCTGCTTTCATTCCATGGCTGTTTGTGGGACATAGCTATGTGCAAATTGTCTGCTGTATTTGCAAAAAAATACAGTGTTGCTAAAGTGTACAGTGTGAAGTGATTTGAGATGTCCTCTCGACATGAAAGGTATTTTATCAAATGTAAGGATTTTGTTGGTTTTCCCTCCGCCTCAGCCCATCTCTTGCCTCCTTTTATGTGGAGTCCTGTAGCTCAGTGGTTAGAGCACTCGCTTTGCAAGTGAGAGACCTGAGTTCAATTCCAGGCAGAGGGCCAAACCTTGGGCAAGTTTCCTTACTCCACACAGAGCCTAATAATAATCCTCCAAAACCCCAAACAATAATAAATTGGTCATTTTCAATCTACGACTGTTTGTGGGACATTGCTGTGCGCAATTGGCTGCCGCGTTCGCCCACAAATATACAGTCAATTCACTTTACAGTGTGTTCTGTGAAGCGCTTTGGGACGTCCTCCCGACGTGAAAAGCGCTATATCAAATGCAAGGATTATTATTATTAAGACCTTCCTCTTTGACTGTGCCTTTGGCCACACTCCTGCCCTCATGTCACCTAACCTCCAACCCTCTTGATCCTAACCCCCAGTTCAGATGCAAACCCTTAATTGGAAACCCTTAACAGCGCCTAAAGATATTCTTCCGACATGAAAGGCAGTATATAAATAAATGTAATTTTGTGCTGTTGTTATGACAAATTGAGAAAAAAACAGGATGTTTTCAGCCTGGCTCAGTTGGTAGCGCTTGTGCTTCTGAGTCAGAAGGTTGAGGGTTCCTGCCCAAGTTGCCTTTTACTTTGGTTGCCATTTCCCAAAGTAGATCAGTGTCTGCCTGGCAGTAATTATAGGAATTTCGGAAACCTCAAAGATTAGGTCATTGACAACGTTGGCTTCTCAGCACGTGATTGACTGAGTTCTGTTGAGTCTTTAGCATCACATCTCGGTTTATTTTCCTCCTGGCAAAGTCCGTCCCTGACTTTGCTCCTCACTAACCAGCACCTTGGTTGGGATGTCCTACCGACGTGAAAAGTGCTATAAAAATGTAACTTGTTGTTGTGGTTGCTGTTGGTTGCTCGCAGGCATCACTCATTGCACAGGCAATCGGCCAGGCTTTCAGCGTCGCTTATCAACAGTTTCTAAACGCCAATGGCATCAATCCTGGTGATCTGAGCCCCACTGAATACAACGATTTACTCGACACAGATTTCTACAACGGAGACCTGGTCCACTTCTCCAAGTCTGAGAACTCCAAGGAGGTGAGCAGCTGATGCAGACTGAGTAATAGAATATCTTTCCAAGATTTAAGTTACTTTACCAGCTATTACATCTAACAATGTACTTGACGTGATTGTGAATTTACAGTTAAATACAATGTAAAATTGCCGAATGATTTTCAATGACTGGGTCTGGGCTATATTTATAAATAATAAAAATAATAATAATGGTTACATTTGGCAAAGTGCCTTTCACCTCAGGAGGTTGTAACTCAGTAGTTGCTGATTTCTGCATTATGACAGCCCTTTAGCTCGTTTGCATTGCACAGATGGTTTCCAGGCAGTTGCAAGTTTTTCCTCTTTAATAACCGTGTGTCCTACTCACTGGTCTAGCTTCAGTGTGAGTCACTGCGCTGCGCAATTGGCTGCTACATTTTGCCCACAATTCACATTACAGTATATCCTGTGAAGTGCTTTGAGACATCTCAACAATGTGATAAGGTGCTATATCAAATGCAAGGATTATTATCATTAGTGCTCTGGTTCTACTGTTGGGCATAGGCCACACCTCTTGTAGTGTGAGCCCTGCTAGAGATGTGAGGGAATGTTGGATGAGGAGAAGATCTGGCTTGACTGTGAGGCCCTCAGTAATCTATTGGCATGTTGATACTCACTGTCAATGGTAACGTGTGAAGAATGGCCAATTGCCCCTTTTGATACCTGCCTGGGGGTGCCAAGGAGGTCCTGTAAGGCACCAATCAGTACCTTTAGGAACATAGGCAAGAAAATTGGTAATAAGGAAAAAAAAATGTATACATCAGCCTTGAAAAAGAAACCTTAAACTGGGTGGCTGAGCTAATCCTGTGTTGGTTGTAACTTGGTTGGATTCTCTGCCCAGGTTCACATCGAAAAGGGCAAGGGAGAGATCTTGGGCATTGTGATTGTAGAGTCAGGCTGGGGCTCCATCCTCCCCACCGTGGTGATAGCCAACCTGATGCATGGAGGGTGTGCGGAGCGATCGGGGGAGCTGAACATTGGCGACCAGATCATTTCTGTCAACGGGACCAGCTTAGTCGGACTCCCTCTCGCTACTTGCCAGGGCATAATCAAGGTATTTCTCTTTGACCGAGCCTTCAGCTCCCCTCTCGACTCTCTTCCCCCTCCTCGCTCCCTCCCTTCCCTCCCCTCACCCTGACCATTTCCCCCTCCTCGCTCCCTCCCTTCCCTCCCCTCACCCTGACCATTTCCCCCCTCCTCGGGTCATGACCCAACTGTGCAGCGCCTTGGGACGTCCTCCTGACGTGAAAGGCGCTTTATAAATGGAATCTTGTTGTTGTTGTATGGGTTTCAGCTGCTCTGTAGTATCTGTTATTTGGATTAACCTGTTCACTGAAGTCTAGAAAACCTTTTTGGGGAATGAATACGTTGCTAGGTTCAAGGACTGTAAGATAATGTCAGCCCGTGCTGCACTGTGAGCTCAATACCTAAAGTGGGGCTTACTCGATTTGCTTTGGTCAGGCGAGTGTCTGAAACATGTCAAAACCCATCACCGTGCTTATGAGTATCTAAACCAGACTGAGATCTCCATGTACACCACATACACATTGAAATTCCCATGTTTGGAATGGAATGTGCACTCTCTCTCTCCCTGGAGGGACGCCACCCGCTGCTTACCCTAATTCCAGAGAGTATTGGGTACTAGTTAGCAAGAGCCAAGGCTTGGCAACCGCAGAGTGTATGTTGGGGGTAACTGTTGGAGTTTAATCAGTTGAAACCTCATAAGAATGTTTGCGGGACATAGAGAAAAGCAAACAAATGAGAATAAAGTGAAACCAGCCCAAAGGATTGAATGGCTGGCTACTCCTTTTCCTGTTGCTAATGATCTCTACCGAAAATCAGAGAAATGTTTTGACATGAAACACGTTGGTTTTCCAGGACCTAAAGTACCAAACCGAGGTAAAGCTGAACATTGTTCGATGTCCTCCAGTCACCACTGCCATTATCAAACGACCTGACACACACCATCAGCTCGGATTTAGTGTGCAAGACGGCATAGTAAGTCAAAACCTTATTTTAGCTGAGTATGTTACTTTCTCAGAATCAGATTTTATCTTTTCAGAGTCCCGGTAATACTGTGGAACGATGAGTATGTTTTTTCTTTTATAAAATAATTTCTCACAGTTTTCACTATCTCGTGACTCTTGTCTGAAGAACGCACATGTGTAGACAGGATTGGGCTTAGCTGTAATTCTCTCTCTCTCTACTCCCCCTCCCCCATGTGCGTATGCATCAGCCACTTGAGTGAGCTATAAGGTGGTGGCAATTTACCTCTGGAGAGCAATACAGCGGAATTTCTTTTGAAAAAAAAGCTGTCATCTATAATGTAGCTAAACACAGGGTATTGTAGCTGAACGTACCTTCCAACCCAGATCTACAGCCTTATGAGAGGTGGGATTGCAGAGCGAGGTGGCATCAGAGTCGGTCATCGGATCATTGAAATCAACGGGCAGAGTGTCGTCGCTACTCCACACGAGAAGATTGTCCACCGATTGTCCAACGCCATTGGAGAGGTGAGTCAGGCATGTAGCGGAGGATCCCCCTCGTGGCCGAGTGGGTAACGGGCCTGCTTCTGATCAACTAAACTGTCGGGAAGTTTCTGTAATGAACCAACAGCCAGCTGTGTGGTATAATGTCTGAGATTCACAAGAGGATTTGTCATCACTGAATCCTGCATCTACATGGCTAGTCTCAGGCTGACTCTTTGGAACTCCTCTTGGATTCTGACCTTATTTTCGACTTGCATAAATCTAGACTGTGGTGGAAGGAGGCTCCCAGTCGAAGATTGGTTATGAAATTGCTATACCAAATGCGAGGATTATTATTATGATGAGTAGAGTTCCAGAGAACAGGCATATGACAATTCCTGATACTTGCAGTATCTGCTATTTACAAATCCTTTTGTAAAGCTTGTAAAATAGTAACACAAGGCAGATAATGTCCTTCTCTCATAAACCTTGATTGATTTCTTCGCCTAATAGCTTCCCTGTTGCTGTGTGTGCTTACACAATATGCTTCCCTTGGCAGTCTGTTCCACATATTCAGCAGTCGCTTTGTAACGTACTTAAATATGAACAGTCTGATCATATTTTGTTTCTGAGCTTAAATCGCTGTCTGATTAGTGTAGATATTTTTGTCCATTCAAAAGCTGATTTTTAGGGTTCATGCATTAGGATATTCAGATTGATCTGTGGTGTGAATATTTTCAGCTTCTGTAGCCTCTTGTCACAACTCGAGTGTCGAGTCCCGCTCTTAGTCCAGTTGCCCTTCTTAGTACCCATTCTAATAACAATAAACCTTGAATTTGATATAGCACTTTTTCACACCTTGGAATGTCTCAAAGCGTTTCACAGAATATACTGTAAAGTGAGTTGACTATATATTGTGGGCAAAACACGACAGCCAATTGGGCACAGGAATGCCCCATAATCTGTCGTTGATTGAGTGACCAAATTATTATTATTTTTTACTTACACAATCTGCTTACTCCAATGCTAAGATATCTTCACTGGGATACAGATTTGTACGAAACTGAGCTTCGGGATAGCTTCGAGACTGATCTGCAATCTGTTCTTGACCGCTGATTGTCCAGCGCCCTGGGATGTCTTTCTGACATGAAGGGCCCTATACAAGTGTTAATTTGCTGTTTTATTTCTAGTTACAATATGGACAGGTGTGTAAGCATAATCTATAGTTTGCAGGTGCCGACTGTCACTGTGGGTAACTGGGTGTTTTTCCTCTGTTAGATACACATAAAGACGATGCCAGCTGCAACCTACAGACTGCTGACTGGACAAGAGCAGCCAATATACATTTAAAGGAAGGACCTACACGTCGGGTCAGCAATACGCTAGGTTCTGGAGCTGGTATACTGCACCTGATAGTAATATGACAGTATTTCCTGACATCACTCAACGTATTCTGCTTCTGAGACGCCACTTGCCACAGCCCACTGTACACTGCACAGCTCTGCTCAATGCAGCCTCTGGGACTGAGGCCCACAGCAGGAACCAGCATAAATCTCTTTATCTTCCACAGTGGATGAATGAAAGGATGGATGGAGGAGGAGAACACAAGGAAGTATGTGACCTGAAGTGGGCAGGCCTGGTGAGGGTGGCACTGCCAGGAGACCCACCACGATGGCTGCTTCAATATTTATTGGCTTCAGGGAAGATATGATACCAGCCAGCCACAGCTTTATCACCAGCGCAGACCGTTCTGCACACGCTGCCAGCAGCACCATAACGGACCCTGCTTTCAGAATGGCACCTTTTTTTAATATAGCGAAGTATATACATACGGAATAAATAGTTTTGATAGCACAGCTTGACATGTATTTTAACAAAATGATTTAAAAATAATGACACACTTAGCAAAGGGCTGAGGGTGTTGGAAGTTGATGTTATTAATCCTAACCGCCCCAGTGAGTGAGTGAGCACAATAGGCTGGAAAAAAGGTGTAGTAATTACAGAGACTTTGACGATGAGGCCTTACTCGGTATTCCTGAACCAGACTCTCCTGGCTCAGCTGGGCTGACTGGAAAAGCACTTCATGTTCAGTCGATCTTCCCCCAGTGTCTCCATAATGAGATCAAACACAGTCTACAAGTTTGTAACCATGGTATTGCACAGCTTTATGTTTAAAACTCGTCTGTGAGATTTTCTAACAAGCAGCTGAATGTGCTGTTTGCTTATTGCCCCCCAAAGACTAGATTGTGGACAGCCTGGGAATTGGATTGCATGGTGCCTTTGATGAGATAAAATTACAAGCTCGATCAGGAGAATTACTATCTAAATTAGAGTTGATGATTAGTTTGTTGTGCACTCGTGGTAAAATGAGTTTAATCTTACTGGACATCAGGTACTGGCTAAATTAGTTCTCTTCCTCTGTGGTTCTTAAATAGCCTGTAATAAAACATGAGATGTATGGAGTTTGTTAATCTCAGCAAAAGCAGAGGTAAGGATGTGACAATTAGCCTAAATGCTCCTGCTCTAGAGAGAGAGTGTGCCAGGGTTCCAGCTCCTGGCAGCTTTGGGGTAGCCATCTTCCTTGCTGGAAATGCATATGTCAGGTACAATTTTATCTCATCAAACAGACACGGAGTTGGGCTGTGTTGGGCTTACTGCTGCCAACACTGGCCTCACACATGAATGGTTCATGCGTGAAGCCAACATTGGCAGCAGTAGTGCGAGCACAGCCCAAGGTGTCTAAGGATGAGTAACAACCTTCGTGGAACTGTTTCCCAGCGCGAGCCAGCACCTTCAGGAGAAGATGGGAATGAGTAAGATTATCATCTCAGATTAACTAAGATAGTTGCATTGGCCAGTGATCCAATGAAAGAAATGCTGATATTTTTCCCAAAGAAGCTGCAGTTGTTCAATAAAATGCATACAGACTCCAGTTAGTCACGCACCAATGTTATTCAGACGCAGCTGAGTTATAGGTATATAAAGGGTGAGTTCCATCAAGCAGACCCAGTTTATGCTGTAGCTGTGATGGAATTATTGATGCTGGAATCTGTTGAACGTTAGAATCCATGCTGCTTATTGCAAAGGAGTGGAACGTCAGGAAGAAAACCCAAGTGCTTTGACAGCTCCTTAAAATGCCTCATTCACAGATAGTTGCCTTATCTTCGTGGTGCTTTCCACAGCAACACTTCAGCCACCTCTAGTTCTTGCTTTGGTTGCTTTATAAGAAAGCCGTGACCATATCACTTTATGTACACACACCAGTATTAACCTGCACAGTCTAACAACCGTGCTCATTAATGAATGGTAGGAGGGAAAACACCCTCAGTAGATCTCGAACTTTACCTCAAGAGCCAGATCCTTGTTATTTTAAGGAATTATGTGTAAAAATGCAAGGACCTTTTTATTTAATGATTGGTGCAGATTTCATATTCCAAGCTCAGTGTTTTAATCACAAAAGCTGCCTTCCTCAGACCAGCTCTGCCACAGGTGCTTCCAAAGAAATATCATGTTGGTGAACAGTCAGGCCTTGGCGATAGGGAGCCTGAGTCTGTTTGTAATGGATGTAGAGCCACAGTGCCTATGAGCCACTGTGCGCTGCTGAATTACGCTTTATATTCTCAGTGACTGGCAACAAAAGGACAAAGTTTTCGAAGCTTTTGTAAATTGCACTGTTTTCTTAATAAAAAGAGGAAACTGCACAGTTGTCAAAGTGTCCTTTGCATTTCACTGAATGTTCTTGTTTAAGCTGCTGATAAACACACCCACACTCCCTCTTTTTTAGAATAAAACCGTGGGTGGGGGCGGGGAATACCGCTACACAGTGTATCAGGCTTGCCCCATCCATAGATCAATGCAAACCGTATTTTACCTCGGACAACCCTCTCCAGATCCTGAGATACAACAACAACAACAAGATTCCATTTATAGAGCACCTTTCACGTCAGGAGGACGTCCCAAGGCGCTGCACAGTTGGGTCATGACCCGAGCAGGGGGGAAATGGTCAGGGTGAGGGAAGGGAGGGAGCGAGGAGGGGGGAAATGGTCAGGGTGAGGGAAGGGAGGGAGCGAGGAGGGGGGAAATGGTCAGGGTGAGGGGAGGGAAGGGAGGGAGCGAGAAGGGGGTAGAGAGTCGAGAGGGGAGCTGAAGGCTCGGTCAAAGAGAAAGGTTTTGAGACCGGCCTTGAAGGAGGAAAGGGAGGAAGCGGCGAAGGCACTGGGGATAGAGTTCCAGAGCCTCGGGCTGAGAGGCTGAAGGCCCGACCACCGATAGTAGGGCGGTTGGGGCGGGGGACGTGGAGCAGACCGGAGCCAGAGGAACGGAGGGTACGGGCAGGTAGGTAGGGGGATAGTAGGTTGGAGAGGTAGGAGGGAGATCAGCACTGCATCAACACTTCTGTAAAGGCAATCAAACAAAAGTTGCAAAATTATACATCCCCAAATGCTATTTAACCCGGACGTGCTTTCCACCAGTACATGTGCTGTTGGGGAAACGAGAGAGCATTGTTGGTTCAGCAAAGCAATATTTAAAGATTTTCTAAAAATGTACAGTATTTTATTGAAATACATTGATAATCTTACAAAATCACTTAGCATATAGTTTTGGTTGAACACAGTAACTGTTTACCAAAAGAAACTACCACCATTCTTACTCCCCAGCTGGAGTATCACATCACCCTTCCAGTTTATAATAATAATAATCCTTGCATTTGATATAGCGCTTTTCACGTCGGGAGGACGTCCCAAAGCGCTTCACAGAACACACTGTAAAGTGAATTGACTGTATATTTGTGGGCGAACACGGCAGCCAATTGCGCACAGCAATGTCCCACAAACAGTCGTAGATTGAAAATGATTTTCAATTTAATTATTGTTTTTGGTTTTGGAGGGATTATTATTAGGCTCTGTGTGGAGTAAGGAAACTTGCCCAAGGTTTGGCCCTCTGCCTGGAATTGAACTCAGGTCTCTCACTTGCAAAGCGAGTGCTCTAACCACTGAGCTACAGGACTCCACAAATGTATATTACATAACAAGATGTTGCTCATTTCTATATTAAAAGTACAACCCTCTCCCTACCTACATAGAGACAGCCCATTAACGAAATTGACGTTTCAGTTTATGCTGCCTATTAACCTGAGCAGTACAGCTCTGAGCTGCTATGCACTTTTGTGGCATCCAAGCTACTTGCCCACATAATGAGTAAAAGGTGGTCAGTATTTGGAGGTGATTTTGAAAGGAGTTGCTGACTGTATTGTTTTTTTTTTGTTTCTTCGGGTTGTGAGCTGAAGTAGCACAGAGAGAGAGAGAAAGTTGCAATGAGTCTGACAAAGGCCCACTGATAATTGGTAAACAGTCAAGCTAAATTATGTTGGTTTTGTACGCACAATAATACATCTGGTCTGGGAAACAGGTCCACATTGAAGGTGAGAAAGGTTAATCTTCTGATCTATGGCCTTGGGTTAGAGGGAGTTTCAGGGTCCGTGTTAGTCACTGTTTATGATGTTCTTCAATCACTTCACCTCTCAGAAATTGAGATTATGTGAATTCCCGTAAAGAAGTGATATTTACTCTCCAGATATGAACTAATTGGAACGAGATGTTTATATTCCTGGAATGCACAAAGAATCTTAGCAGCTAAAATCTTCCATTCAGCAAAACAGACAACCATAAGAGATTTACACCTGAGATATAGTACTTTGCCATGTGGAATTATATTGATTCCCTTATTTTGAATTACAGTCACATTTGGCGAGTGGTTGGAGATGTGAGAGGTTCTGTGTTTCGCCACCTGATGTAGTTTCTTTCACAGTTCAGTCGCTGGACCATTCCAATCATCTTCGTCCGAGCTGTAGTTGGTTCTCCCATGGTTGTGATGTGTCCTGTGGTCCCATTTGTCAGATCTTTTTAAGAGATTGAATAATAACAAATAATAATCCTCGCGTTTGATACAGCGCCTTATCACGTCTTCAAGATGTCTCAAAGTGCTTCACAGAATAGACTGTAAAGTGAATTGACTGTATATTTTGTGGGCGAACGCGGCAGCAAATTGCACACAGTAGTGTCCCACAAACAGTCATGGATTGAATGAACAATTTATTATTTATTTTTGGAAAGAATTATTACCCCCAAAAAAGTGATCCACCAATCGACTAACAACCGGGTTCCTACTAGTTTGATAGGTAAACAGGCGGGTGGAGTTAGGAAACTTGCCCAACCTTTCGCTGTGCCAGAAATCGAACCCAAGTCTCTTGTTTGCATGGCGAGTGGTCTAACCACTAAGCCAGAGGAATAAACTGATCTTTAGGACCAAACCCCCCCCACCCCTCCATTGTCATCCCATTCACAAACGCTGGCCTACAGTTCCACAGAAACAGGCCAACTTCCTCTATCTTGCCAGTGTTTCATGTGTGAGCTTCACCAGTGAGTGCTGAAAGCATACCCACGCATATATACCTCCCAACAAGGGGAGGGTGACTGAATAGTCACCAGTAAGTACAGAACAAATCCTGTGTGGATTCTTCAGCAAGAGAGAATTTCCCCCCATATCCTTGGGTATTGGTAGCAAATTGTATTTGATTTTAGAAGGTACAACAGTACCAGTGTCTAATTTTATAAGGGTTGAGTTGGGAGCAGAACACAGAACACGCCACTCATCTACTTCTATTATTAGAGGAGGAGTTCATAGAATCATAGAATTATACAGCAGATAAGGAGACCATTCGATCCATCGTGCCTATGCTGGCTCTTTGAAAAGAGCTTCTAAATCAATCCGCTCTCCCCATAGCCCTGCAAACTTGTCCTGCCCAAATAATTATCTACTTCTCTCTTAAAAGCTGTTATCAAATCGACTTCCGCCACCCTTTCAGGCAATGCATTCTAGATCCCAACAACTCGGTGTCCTCGGGTTACCGACCCACTCGCCAGTGGAAATAGTTTCTCCTTGTTCACCCTATTGAATCCCCTCAGAATTTTTAAAATTTATATTAAGTCTCCTCTTAACCTTCTCTGGTCCAAGGAGAATAATTCTCGCTTCTCTAGCCTCTCCTGAGTTTGCAGTTGTGGCTTCACTGGTTTCCACAAAATCTAATTAAGGGAACAGAGTCACAGCGTTTACTGGAATTTGGTCACTAGTGCCTTGATCAAAATAGAGACAAAATGTGTAAACGAGAGCACTCACCGTGGATACTGGGGGTTCTTGTACTGTCCCCGTGGCTGTACCTATCAAAAGAAACCATAATGGAATGGAATCAATCGAGTTACATAGAGCAAAGTAAGAAGGTATCATTCTGGTACAATGATGGCACTCGAGCTTTTGAGTCAGAGGGTTGTGGGTTCAAGCCCTGCATAGGTACTTGGAACCACAACGCCACCTTGCATTTATATAGTGCCCCTCATGCAGGGGAGCGTCCCGCTTAAATCGCATAGTCTAAGGTGACATTTCCAATGCAGTCCTGAGCATGGGGGGGGATTTGCATTGACGGAGGCACTGTCCTTCAGATGAGACCTTAAACCAAGGTCCTGTCCCTGCCTGTTCAGGTGGATGTTAAAGATCCCATAGCACTATTTGAAAAGAGAAGGGAGTTTCTCCTGGTGTCCTGGCCAACAATCCTCCAAATAAAATTGGTCACTCATTCGATGGTTGTTTGTGGGACACTATTTTAATAATAATCCTTGCATTTGATATAGCGCATTATCACGTCTTTGAGACTTCTCAAAGCGCTTCATAGAATGTACTGTAAAGTGAACTAACTATATTTTTGGGTGAAACACGGCACCCAATCGTGTACAATGACCCACAAACAGTTGTGGATTAAGAGACCAAGTTATTATTTTTTTTGAAGGAATTATTACCCCCGGAAAAGCGATTCTCCCAATCATCAAACAACTGTGTTACTTCCAAGGTAAACATGGGCATGTGGAGTAAGGAAACTTTCCCTACGTTTTGCCCTGCCGGGAATCAAACCCAGGTCTCTTGCTTGCGGCACGAGTGCTCTAACCACTAAGCTACAGGACTGCAATTGGCTGCCGTGTTTCACCTACAAAATACAGTCAATCCACTTCCCAATGTATCCTGTGCAGTGCTTCGGGACATCTCAACATTACATTAGAATACATAACAGAAACAGCCATTCGGCCCAACTGGTGTCTGCCGGTGTTTATGCTCCTCCTGCCCTTCCTCAAGCATAATTCTATTCCTTTCTCCCTCATGTACCTATCTCGTTTCCCCTTAAATACATCCGTGCTATTTGCCCCAACAATTCCTTGCGGTAGCATGTTCCACATTCCCTCTACTCTCTGTGTGAAGAAATTTCTTCTAACTTCCCTGTTTGATCTATTTGTGACTATTTTATATTGATGGCCCCTGGTTTTGGTCTCCCCCACAACTGGAAACATCTTCCCTATGTCGACCCTATCAAAACCTTTAATCATTTTAAAGACCTCTATCAGGTCACCCCTCACCCTCCTCTTTTCAAGAGAAAACAGTCCAAGTATGTTCAGGCTTTCCTGATAGGTATAACCTCTCAGTTCTGGGAACATCCTTGTGAGTCTCCTTTGTACCCTCTCCAGTGCCTCTACATCACTTCTATGATGTGGGGACCAGAACTGCACACAGTATTCTAAGTGTGGTTCTATAGTTTACCATAACTTCCCTGCTTTTCACTTCTAACCCTCTAGAAATGCCTGGTTTGCCTTTTTTATGGCCTTATTAACCTGCGTTGCTACTTTTAGCGAGTTGTGTACCCCAAGATCCCTTAGCTCCTCTACCCCATTTAGGTTTTTATTTTTCAACGACTTGATAACGCGCTCTCTCAAATGGAAGGATTAAAAGGTGCAATGAAAAGGACTCTGGAGAAAATGAACCCAAAAGGCATTTTGTTATAGCAGTTCCTCTTCAGATTTTGGGCGAATAATGAGCAAAATGCTTTCAACAGAGACTTCTGATACTCCACTTGCTGTCCTGAGTGGGATTGATGTTAGTATAACTGGTAACAACAACTTGCAGTTACACAGCGCCTCTCATGCAGAGTAGAGTCCCAGAGCACTGAGTTTGCCAATATCTGTCAGTGAAGCCCTTACCTGTGCCAACAAGTTTTCTGTTGAAACCCTGGTGTGGGGGACGGGGCTGTGGTGGGCTTCGTTCCTCACGGGCTCAGAGGACCTGGAGATGGCGGGTACGCCCATGTAATCGTCGAGCTCGTTGTCGGTGTACCCACCGCCCTCAGCGTCCGTGTCCTCGTAATCGCTGGTCATTCGGCTGTCGTCACAGCTCAGGTAATCCATGCTGATGCTGGGCTTCAGTATCTCCAGCTCCTCGTTGCCTCCTTCCTCGGTCTGAGAGCGAACAACGTCAAGAGAGTCTTAGCAAAGTGCTCACAACACGCATTTGAAGATCAGGCCATAAAACCCACCTTGGAAGGACCCCACCCATTAACTCACAATAAGGTTCGTCAATCATCCACATCACTGCAGAACCTTGCAGTCATGCTTGCCGTTATAACAGTCACTACGCTTCAAAGTAACTCATATGAGGTATTTTTGAGTGTATTTCATTTGATATGCGGCTGTTACAAAGGCAAGCTCTTTTCTTTAAATCATAGTACAAGTTCTATTGATTTGCTCATCTCATCCAAACAGTAATAAACAAGGTTTAATTGAATCTTACAGCACATCTTACATAACATAACCCCAGGCCATTCGGCTCATCGTGACAGTGCCATCTCTTTGAAAGAGCTACCAAACTAGTCCTACTCCCCCGCTCTTACTCCATAGCCCTGCAAACTTTTCCTTTTCAGTATTTATACAATTCCCTTTTGAAAGCTTTATTAAAGAAGTTTTATTAAAGAAAAAAAATACCTTTTCTTCGGAAAACCAGACAGGGTGAGACTGCTGTTCCTTGATCACCGAGGCTAGATTTGAGAACCACGTCGCAGGAGCCGAGTTTAGGTTTATTGTGGCTGTTGGGATTGGGGGGAAAGAGAAACAAAATCCATGTGATAAAATCTCTCTCAGTTATTCAAATGAGAATAGAATCTAAAACAGAAAATAAATCAGCTCCTGATTACTATCTGCTACTCGTCAGCAGGACTTAAAGGGAAATCAGTAACTGGGAAAAGGGATTCTTGCCACTCAGCTTAACAACAACTTGCAATTATACATTGCCCCTCAGGGTAGTGTCCCAGAGCGATCAACTTTGTTAAACCTTGCATGCCAAAGACCTAGAAAGTAGGGTTCGTCCTAGCGGGACAAGCAGTGGGATGATCTGGGGACCCCAAGCCTTGGCTCTTGCCAATTTGCACCTGATACTCTATGGAATAAGATAAGCAAGTGTGCAGTGCATTCTAGCTTCAGGGCAATTTCCATGGGTAGTGTTTTACATATGTGGAACTCATTTGAGAGCGCTCGTGTTTCTAAGTCATACGAACGAGATCATCTGTAATGTCCACCGTTCAAAGCCCTGCTAACTTCATCAATCTGCACACCTCTTTCCCCTTGGCAGGCACTGGCCTGCTCCACATCCCCTGCCCTGCCTGCTCCACTATCAGTGGTCGGGCCTTCAACCTCTCTGCCTCCACCCTCTGGAACTCCATCCCGGAGTCCCTCCACCTTGTCCCTCTCTTGCCTCCTTCAAGGCCTGTCCCAAGACTCTCCATTTCAAACATGCCTTTGGTCATCTTCCCTCCACCCCTCCCTGATCTCAACCCACAGCTCGGGTGCAAACTCTTCAATGTCCAACACTTCGGGACGTCTTCCCGAAGTGAAAGGTGCTCTGTTTGTTGTTCTTGTTGTTGTCTGGCCTAACACAATAAAATAGTTTAGGAACATAATAGATGCTGCATCAAATCAAGGATTATTATTACAATGCAAAGTCCGCAGGTGGAACTGCACTCCAGCCTGAAGGAACGGGAGACAGTTAAAGGGAAAACATTGGCAAAGGCCGCTGGAAGATTTATTTACCTGTGAAGAGGTGAGACCAGTGTTTCCTGAGTTTCACTGCCTGAGTGTAGAGTCTCTTAGAACTTTTCTTGGACTCAGGGCACAGACGCTGACGGACGGCTTTCACTTCCTGACGGTTCTCTGGGTTGAAGAAAACCACAATGGGGTACCACTTGACGTAATTGAGCCGCTCGATGGCTGGCGGTGTGATGTCCAGCAAGCCGTGCTTGTCCTGCAGAGGAGACGGGGGTTACATTTCTCACCTTCTGTAATTCATCAGAAATCTCAAAACGTTTTTCTTTCATAATTGAACGGTGCCTCGTCAGCTGATCTCAGGCTGGGTCAGCATGCGTGACGTCAAAGTTAATTCTGAGTTTGTTATCCTCCTTAGGATAGAGTTCAAAATCCTCATCCTCACCTTCAAAGCCCTCCACGGAGCTGCTCCCCCCTCCCTCTGCGACCTGCTAACTTTCATATAAACCTGTCCGCTCCCTCCGCTCATCGGGCTCTGGCCTTTGGAGCTGTTTCACAGTCCATTTCCCTTGCTCCATCCCTTGCCTCCTTCAGGGCCAGTCTCAAGACCCTCCTCTTCGACCAACCGCTCGTTCAGTCACCCTTCTACCCACACTCTCCCCCCACTCCACCCCTCCTGATTCCAATCTCCACTTAAACTGCATTTTAGCGCAGAACAATTCACAGCAGTGAAAAATTTGAGGGAATATGTAGAACTGCCAACCTGAAGCACCTGGAAGGGTTTTTTTGCCTCACCTTCTGAGCTATAAACTTGACCGTCTCAAGCTTAATAATGGATGATGAGTAGTCAGCATCAGGGTTTCTCCGCACCGTTTCTGGAAACGACACATCTCAACATTAGAGAGATATTGGTGCAGTTATTACATTACATCTCCGGCAACCAGCCTCGGAGAAGTTCTTCACCGTCTAAAGGCTTCAGACACCAGGGGGTGCAATTAAGTAAGGAGCAAGTAGGGAATGTCAAACAGACCTTTTTTTAAGAAAACACGCAGAAGGTAATAGGAGAGTTAACAGGGAGATCATGGAAGCAGATGTACTGGGTGACTCTGTTGATTAGGTACCTTACTGGTGGTGTGGAACATGTTTGTAGGCTTAGCCAGTTGCACACAGCAATAGTCCCACAAACAGCCTTGAAGTGATTGACCAATTTTCCTAGGAGAGGACACTGGGAGAGAGAAACTCTTTTTTTGAAATAGGGCCATGGGATCTTAAATGTCCACCTAAACAGGCGAGTGGGGCCTCGGTTTAACGTCTGCAATGCAGCACACTCCCAGGCTCAGAGGCGAGAGCGCTATCGACTGAGCTGACACACGGATTAAAGGATCTGGTGTGAAGGAAGGTGATGGGGTTAAAATCAATCAAAATGGAACAGTCATTGGGCTAAATTCACGTTCCTGATCCAAAAATTTATAGCAATGTAAAAACAGCAAATAAACTTAGAATCAAATAAACCTAGAATCCTACAGCACAGAAGGAGACCATTCGGCCCATCGTGCCTGTGCTGGCTCTTCGAAAGAGCTGCCAACAAGTCCCACTCCCCCATCTTTCTCCATAACCTTGCAATTGTTTTCGTTTCAATTAAATATCAAATTCCCCTTTGAAAGTTAATATTGAATCTGTTTGCCCCGGCCTTTCAAGCAGTGCAGTCCAGACCGTAACAAGTCGCAGCGAAAGAAATTTCTCCTCTCCCGTCTGGTTCTTTTGCCAACTTGACCCTAAGGGATACTCACGAGCGAGCTCGAACTTGATGGGAAGGTCGTCGGCCAGGGTCTGTATGGCAACATCTGAAATTGGTCCGAGAATAACTATCGGCCGTTTAAAACTTGCTGTAGATAGAAAGGCAGTGAGTAAAAGCCAAAGATTGAGCACAGTTGCTGAAAAATTACAAAACTTGTAAACTTATATATATATAAGAACTGTAGTAGGATATTCAGCCCCTCGAGCCTGTTCTGGCATTCCATTAGATCACTTTTTAACTTTTTAAAAAAATTTGGGTGGAAATAATTCAAAAGGGCTCATTCAATAGATGACATGACAACTTAAAAAAAAACACATGAAGGCTTAACTGAAAGAGTTCTATATCTCCCCTACAAAATAACACAAAACCATTTTAACAATTTTATCGAATGACAATGAGGGTTTAGAACCTGATCTGACATTGATGCACTTCAGTGGCTGCTTCTCTGAACTTTTCTTCCATCATCAAAAATCCCCATTCCACACACTCTCGCACCTTCCCCATCTTCACTGTGTCAAAACCTAATCATTCAATCCCCAGGACCACAAGGCTCTGACCTCCTTCGCTCATTCCTACAACCTAAACACTTTTAAGATCCGAAGGAATCTCCTGCTTGTCTGGTGAAGACCTTTCACTGGCTTCGTTCACCCTCTGAGTTTGGACTTTCCAAAGCTCAGCCTTAACCATCTGTCCTCCTGGTCCTTCCTTTTCAAAGTATCTTTGCTCAGTGCCTGCTGCACGGTTGTTAGTCTCATGGACGTTGAATGACAGTCAGAGTCTTGTGGAGGCTTGGAAGCTTTTGTTAAACTTCTTTGAGAAAGGACATTGCCCAGACCCCAGTCTGTGCTCTTTTACTTTCCATCAGGTCAATGTGTAAAAAATCTACACCACTCCTAGCTAAGAACGTAAGAATTTACTGGCAAATAAAGACCAATGTCCATCGATTTCACCTTCCACCATCCTGGCAGTTGCTTGACATGTCGTGCCCCAAACCATATACTGTGTCCCCAGATATTATTTTCTAGCAGCAATTTATCCAATTTGTTCTTGAAACAAAACGACATTTTCTGCTTCCGCTGTCAGTCTCCCGAGGGAGCCTGTTCCATACGTTTACTACTTGCTACTGAAGTAACATTTCCACCAGCTCAACGTGTAAGAACCTACACCGTTCCTATCTGCGGGCTGTACCTTCTCTCAGAGCCACGTGTTCATACGGTGGGAATCTGCTTTGGATGGTGAGGTTTGAAAGGTCGTCTCTGCTCTTTCGCAGGTTTTTCTTGGCGCCCCTCAGCCCGCGCATCTTCCAGAATTCTGCCCTCGGTCCTGTCGAAGAGTTCGAGGAGGCTATTTTCTGAGTCATCCCCACCCTGACAATTTGCTCCGCTCTGCGGGAAAATAAGCAACAGGGCATCACTGAGGGGGACCGGGCCACAAAATCAGTCCTTTTTTTTCTTACAATAAATAATAATGGTTGCATTTGATAGAGCACATTTTCACATTGTTCAGACATTGATAAGACGTGATAAGGCACTATATCAAATGCAAGGATTGTTATTATCTCAAGGTGCTTTGTGGGTGAACATGACAACAACCAATTTGCACGCAACAATCTTCCACAAACAGACAATTTTATTTGGGAGATTTTTGTTGGCCAGGATACCGGGCGAGAGAAACTCGCTTCTCCTTCGAATAGTGCCATGGAATCTTTAACATCCACCTGAACCTCAGTTTTAACCTTTCATCCAAGTGACCGCCCTTCTAACAATGCGTTCAAAGTACCGACAGAGGGCTTGAATCCACAAGCTTCTCTGACTCAGAGGCAAGAATGCTTAAAACTAAGCCAGGCTGACACTTCAACCCCCCTCCCATTCAGGAAACGCCTGGAACTTCAACAACTTGAGTTTAGGTAGATCTAAATGTAGCAAACCTCACTGGTACCAAATTAACATTTGTAAAGGCCATGTTCTACATTATAATAGAGGAACTGCGATAGAAATGGGAACATATTTATCACAATCTGCTTTGGGGGCAGTTTTTAATGTTTTTTTAAAAGAATTTGTAGTAAAATCTGGGTTATTGAGGAACCTTAGATTTACCATATTGAAATACAACAAGCAAGCTGAAAGAAAGTGGCCTCTTAAGAGACACTTCATAGAATCATATAGAACCTTATAGTACAGAAGGAGGCCATTCTGTTGGCTCTTTGAAAGAGCTACCCAATCAGTCCCACTTGATGGTCCTGAGTGAATGAGATTCACTGATTACAATCTCTCACACCCTTTGGCCCATGTTCTCCCCAAGGTTCTCTGACCTGCTCTTGTTGGGGATAGTGCCTCTGTCCTGCTCTTTCAGGTCGTGTCCGATTCTCACGGCGAGCCAGGTTCCCAGCTTGCCCTTGAACATGGTGTCCACCACCCGGAAAACCTCTCCCGCGAAAAGGTCAACCCACGTGGCTCATCGGCCTCATGTTCAAAGTGCGCTCGGATGTGGAAGGAATCTCCTACATTGGACTGCATCATCTTCGTATAAACTGGAAGGAGAAGACATGGAATTTTGGCATTTATAAGCAGCTCCGTAATGGAATTGAGGAACTAAACACAGAAAAATATTTGTCCAATCTTTTTCGCAGAGAGTTGTTACAGTCTGTAATGCACGCCCTGAAAGGGAGGTGGGAACAGATTCAATATAGCTTTCAAAAGAGAATTGGGTAGGTACTTGAAAAGGAAAACTTTGCAGGGCCATGGGGTAAGAACGGGGGAGTGCGATTAGTTGGTAGCTCTTTCAAAGAGCCGGCACAGGCACTATGGATCGAATGGCCTCCTCCTGTGCTGTAAGATTCTATGATATGATAAGGTGGCAGGACGAGAGGGTGTTGGTTCAGTATTGTGAAGGGCAACTTTGGAAACAGGCAAAAGGAAAAACAAGTACACAGTGGAGTCAACGGCTGCAACACGTTATCAGACAGGATGGCCGAGGCCAGGAGACACGTTAAAGGACAACTGGATGAGATAATGGGAAGACGCAAGGGTGGAGAACCTGGAAGAATGAGATCAGGGGACTACAGTTGCCCTCAGGTTCCTAAGGTTGGCGGGGGTGGAGGAGTGGGAAGTGGGGATGCAGGGAATAAAACCCAGCTAGGGTCTATTTTCCTTATCGCTCTTACTGCCACTGACCAGAGGTTTTCTTCTGGAGGGCAAGTGGTTGTGGGGCAGCACAGACATTACTATTCTCACTGTGGCACCGCTTGCTGTCCTGCCATCACCCCACCTGAGATCACACATGAAGAACGGTGGCTTAGGTGAGATCCCAGAGGGTGGTCAGTAGGCGATGAACTGAAGACCAGGCACCAGTCAGTGGTACCATAGAGAAGAGAAACATTAATATGATATAGAGCAGCTCTACTTACTGTCCTGTTTGCTCTGAGCCAGAATTTCCATTTGTTCACCTCTCGGTATGTCCAGCAGAAAAAGGATAGCTTCCTCACGTGTGAGGTTTTGAAAGTTGACGTTGTTCACCTGTTCGATAAGAGGAATGAGGTACAGATCAGTTTATGGGAGGGTGTGGGGGGATAGGACAGCACAGCACCCCAAGATGATCATTCGGAACCCAGCAACAGGAACCCATCACCGGCTGCCACTGGCTCAAGCCAGCAGAGAGGCTGGACGTTAAGAAAGAACTTGCATTTTATAGCTCATGATCACGTCACATCTCAGAGCACGTGTAGATATAGTTTCTGTGGAAGCCATTTGCACAAGCAAACTTCAAACTTCAACAAACAGCCAATGTGGAGGAATGTGGCCAGGACTTTGGGAAAAATTCCCTTTTTCTTTTCCACTAGTCTTTGAAGCCCACCAAAATAGGCAGACTCTTACACAGGGTCAATAGGATGCCTGGTACGATTTTCCAATATCATAGTTGACTGTTAGCCCTATTGAGGTTGTGAATTTGATTTCCTGGCTGTGTTGAGTCGGATGATTTCAGCTGAGGCAGCAGCTAGGGTCACAGTTGGCCTCAGTTGAGGGGAAAAATCAGCTAATGTTCCTGTCCCTGATCGCTGCTCCTGTTGGAGACTTCAAACACGTACTACACGTAGGAGTCCTGTAGCTCAGTGGTTAGAGCACTCGCTTTGCAAGCGAGAGACCTGAGTTCAATTCCAGGCAGAGGGCGAAACCTTGGGCAAGTTTCCTTACTCCACACAGAGCCTAATAATAATCCCTCCAAAACCAAAAACAATAATAAATGGTCATTTTCAATCTACGACTGTTTGTGGGACATTGCTGTGCGCAATTGGCTGCCGCGTTCGCCCACAAATATACAGTCAATTCACTTTACAGTGTGTTCTGTGAAGCGCTTTGGGACGTCCTCCCGACGTGAAAAGCGCTATATCAAATGCAAGGATTATTATTATTATTATTACACAACGCAGCGCTACCCCAGAATGTCATTGGAGTGTCGGCCTAAACAATGAACTCAAGAGGCCCGATGTGAGGGCTTAAACCCACAACCTTCCTACTCAGAGGCGAGAGTGCTGCTAACTGAGCCAGGCTGACATTAGCTTTAAAGATGCTGCTCCTGTGGTCAAAGTGCTTGCAAACACTCTTTGGTCCAGGCTCACCCATGAAGAAGAACAGTTTGTGTGGACACGTGATCAATCCCACGGAACCACAGCACAGGATCAGGAGGGAAGGAAATTAATAATGGAAAAGCTCTAAAGGGTGTGAGGTATAAGATTGAGAAGATTGAAGAATCTGGACTTGTTTTTCCTTACTTTAAGAATCTGATCTCCTTTCTGGATGCCTTGCTTTCCAGCAGGGCTTCCATCCTGAACTCCTGATACAAATATCCCCACATCATTGCCTCCTGCCAGTTGGAGGCCAACACTGTCATCCTTGGTGAACCTCGCCATCTTCATGTCAGGGCTGTAGCTAAACAGCAACACATTACATTACAATGAACAAAAGGCAAAAGATCGCAGATGCTGGAAATCTGAAATATAAACAGGTCGCTGGGAACACGCAGCAGGTCAGGCCGCATCTACGGAGGGAGGAAAATGAGTTAATGTTTCAGGTCGATGACCAAAGGTCATTTTCCTCTCTCCATAGATGCTGCGTATTCCCAGCTTCTTCTGTTTGTATTACATTACTGTTATGGGGAGCCGTTGACATTGGGATTGATTTCAACTCCTGAATTATCTTATCAAACATCATCGAATGGTGGCCTAGTTGGTAAAGACACTAAAGTACAGCAATAGATCATACAGACCAGGGGGTCGCAAGTTCAAATCCTGGTTTGTGCTGATTTAACCTATTTGTACCAGAGCAAGTTAGGGCTATGATTTATAATTTCAGTTAGGGCGTGGTGGGGGAGGGGAGAGGGAGAAAAAGGTTTCCGCTCCTAATTACTACCCGGGATGTTGGGATCAGTTTAGGGTGGAGGGCAAGGGGGGGGATGGAGGAGGGAAGATGACCGAAGGCATGTTTAAAGAGGAAGGTCTTGATATGGGCCTTGAAGGAGGCAAGAGAGAGAGGGAGTGGCTCTGGGATGGAGTTCCGGAGGGTGGGACAGAAGGCTGAAGGCCCGACCGCTGATAGTGGAGCGGGCAGGGCCGGGGACATGGAGCAGGCCGGAGCTTGCAGAGTGGACTTATAATGGACAGGTTGGTTTTAATAGGTGGCAGAGATAATGAGGAGCACGATTGTGAAGGGATGTAAAGGTGAGGACAAGGATCTTGGACTCAATCCTCTGGGAGATGGGGAGCCAGTGAAACCCATGGGGTGATGGCTTTACTATCCGGGTCATTGGGAGGAAAGACCTAATCATTTGCTCAGAAAATACACAGTCAGTACTTTACAGTACATACTGTGAATCAATTTTTTAGACGTTCTCCCAAATGTGAAAGCGCTTGATCAAATGTAAGGATTATTATTATTATGATCGGATAATTATTGATCAATTCCTGTTAAAAGAAAGGTTCCAACTTACCCAGCATTATATTCATCTTTCAGTTTTGTGAATGAAGGCTTTACCGGGAGAGAGTAAATTGGATCTTCACTGACTGAGCTCAGCCCTTGAAGGTGGGGATAGAAAATGAAATAATTCACTTTAAAAAGCTAACTGTTACAGAACCACAGTACAGGAAATCAAATCACTCCAGCGTTTCGTTCACAAAATACAGTTAATCCATTGTACAGTATATTCTGTAAAGCTCTTTGAGAGTTCAACAACGTGAAAAGGTGCTACATCAAGGGCATGGATGATTATTATTATTGTTATCATTATGTGATTGAATTCATCTTTCCAGCAAACACTGGAATGTGGATTTCAATCCTCAAAGATTGTAGATTTACTGAATGACACAGTGGGTTAGAGACTGGCTTTGCACATCCGGGATCAGTCTTTAAATACAGCCTAGACCGACGTGGTATAGAGAGAGCTTCACTCCTGCATCTCACCTGTGCTGAGAGTGCTTGATGTGAGGGGCTTTGAGACGTCTCAAAGATGTGATAAAGCGATATATCAAATGCAAGGATTATTGATTCAGACACCATCTAAAACGAGACCTTGCTCCATTTGCACTAACACCCTCACATCAATGAGCACAAACTTCACCCAAAAGTTTAAAAATTGCTAATAGTAATCTGCTCATGCAAAGCTTCTCCATTCACAGCAGCAAAACAATTATAATAATAATCTTTGCACCTTTCTTATCAAGGAGGACGTCTCAAAGCACAGGTCTTATCTGAAGGAAAGGCACATCTAAAATACAGCCCTGGATTGTAGGGGCAGCCCAGGCATTATGAGTTCAAAGTTCCAACATGGGATCAGTCATTAAGATCAATTGCCATTTGGTCAGGATGGTAAATGCCAACATGTGAAGCTTAATGTGGAGAAATGCGATGTGATGCAATTTGGGAGGAAGAATGAGGAGCGGCAATATAAGCTGATGGTACAATCTTAAAGGGGGTGAAGGAACAGATACACCTGGGTCTCATATGAGTAAATGTTTGAAGGTGGCCGGACAGGTAGATACAGCTGTTGAAAAAAGCATATGGGATCCTAGGCTTTATAAATAGGGGCATAGAATACACAAGTCAGGAAGTTATGATAAACCTTTATAAAACACTGGTGAGGCCTCAGCTACAGACTGGGTTCAGTTCTGGGCCCCACACTTTAGGAAGGATGTCAAGGCATTGGAGAAGGTGCAAAGGACATTTACCAAGATGGTACCAGGAATAAGGGACAAGGTTAAGAGGAGACTGAATAGAATTTTTCAAAATTCTGAGAGGAATCGAGAGGTGAACAAGGAGAAACTATTCCCACTGGCGGGTGGGTCTGTAACCCGAGGACACCGATTTAAAATAGTTGTTAAAAGAAACAGAGGGGAAGCGAGAAGAAATTTTTTCACACAGCGAGTTGTTGGTATCTGGAATGCGTTGCCTAAAAGGCTGGTGGAAGCCAATTCAATAACAAATTTTTACAAGAGAAATAGATAATTATTTGGAGAGGACAAGTTTGCAGGGCCATGGGGAGAGAGCGGGGGAGTGGGATTGATTTGGAAGCTCTTTTAAAAGGGCCGGCACAGACATGATGGGCTGGATGGCCTCCTTCTGTGCTGTATGATTCTATGTGCAACTTTCATCTCTAGCAATCTGCATCCAACTGCTGATCCAACAACAACAACATGCAATTAAAGCATGTATAATGCAGGGTAGCGTCCCAGAGCAAGTCAATCCACTCGACACTCACCGGGAAGAGGTTCAATGGCTGTGGGCTTGTCCACCACGTCCGCTTTGTTGGTTTTCAGGCTGGTCAGTAAAAGAGAATTAAGTCATTTTGGCAAAGGACAGGCAGGCATGATGACATGTTCAACATTCGAGAGTTTCACAATTTGCATTCTGTGATTCAATCGCCATATGGAGCCGTGATCCATGTGGTTTTAAGATGCTTGTAGCTTGTAATTGATTGCACAATAAACCTGATGCATTCGAAATAACCCGGGTAATTAGCTTTAGCTTTCCTATAATGCAGTTTCCTGTGCAAGGAGACAAAAAGAAAAAGGACTGTGATCTAGTTTAGGATCCAGTGACCACCACGCACCCACCTCCGCTTACCCCATTCCACAAACACCCACCACTCACCCTTGTGGGTGTGGACATTGGGTGAGGGCATGATCAGGTTTGGCTGTGATGTTTGTCATTGTTAAATGGCCAGGGAACACTCACAGTGCACACCGACCGAGGTTCTGAGTGAGATATCACAGACACCTGTGGAATGGAGCGCAGAGGGAGAATACTGGAGGTCAACAGACATCAATGCCTCCAATAACTGAGTGGGTTGTTAGGAATCTCTCTTTAGAAAGCCCAAATACCGTTCATTGTTCTTGGTCTCCCTCTCAGGATTTCGCTCGACCGGTTTTCTCCTGCGCTCGTCCGGGGAATCCAAGGGGTCAGGCTCCAAGTCTGAAATATCTGCGTAGAAAATAATAACAAAGGTAATAATAATAATCCTTGCATTTGACATAGTGCCTTATCACGTCATTGAGACGTCTTAAAGCGCTTCACAGAATATATTGTAAAGTGAAGTGACTATGTATTTTCCGTGTGATTTGCCAAAGTTACATTTCAGTCCGTTTTGAAGGATGAGCAAAGTGAGAACTGGGGAATGAGCTCACAGTGAGCAGCCGAGGCTGCTGTCAGCCAGGCCAGCCTATCACATCCCACATTTACCAGGGAAACCAGGTGGAATTGGACAAAATTTAAGTATGTGTACGAATACAGGAAACACTAGGGCTTCCCGGGAGTTATCTGTGAGTAGCTGAGCCATACAGACCAGGCTAGGTCCAGGTTCAACACTTGATCGCTGATTCGAATTCAACACTTGGGTTATCTGATCTCAGCCGGAACAGAGGAGTCAGAGCTGCTGTTAGCCTCGGTGATGCTGTGTTAGAGACTGGAAATCCAGTAAGAATTCGATCCCGATTGCTATCCAGAGATACCTTTCTTCTTACGTGTGGTGTTGTGTTGTGTGGTGTGGTGTGTGCGTGTGTGTGTGTGCATGGATATCAGATTAGGACAAACCCAAGTTCAGCTGTAATCCTGCTGCAGTCAAACAGTGGACTGACACTGACTGTAAATTCACAAATGAATTATGGTCACTTGGGTGAGGAAGGATGTCCTGCACCAGTGACTGCTTTCAGGGGATGAGCAATGCTGTTTGCTGGAATGTGGTGGAACATTTGGATCTTCCATTGCCCCGTCACTCACCCTCAAGCCCAGAACTGTGCTCATCGCTGTCAGCTAGCTCAGGAATATTGACCAGAAATTGTTCTTTATCCCGCAGCACCAGGAGGGCTAGTTTCCCCTCGGACTTCTCAATCAAGGTCCTCGTGTCTTCGAGAGAAATGTTCTCGGTCACTATACCATTAATCTAGACAGTGGAAGAAATTGGTCCATTCAACACTCAGAGTATGACTTTAACCCAGTGTAAAAGATCGACAACAACAACAATTTGCACTTACACAGAGTCACGTCCCAGAGCGCTTGTCAGTGGGGGTGCACAACGAGAGCCAGGGGGAGGTGGAGGTGACTGTAGGCACAGTCGAAGAGGAAGCTCTTCAGACGTGATCTGAAGGTAGGGAAGGAAAGGGCAAGGTGGACGAATAGAGGAAGAGTGTTTCAGAGTTTTGGGGCATAGTGGCTGAAAGCACAGCCACCAATGGTGGAGCAAAGGGCATGAGGTACAAACAGGAAGCCGTAGCCAGTCGAGCGGAAGCAGCAGGTAGTGGGGATCCAGGAAAGAGGAAATGTCTGTAAGGCATAGTGGATTTGGACCTTGAAAATGTTAGCAGGGAACTTCCGAGAAGCCATGAACAGAGAGAGTATTGATAAAAATGAACAAAGGTTGTGCTGGAGATTGAGATTGGAAGCGAGAGATAACAATGATCCTTCCATTTAATGTATCATCTTATCACTTCAAAAGACGTCTCAAAGCACTTCACAGGAATTTACTGCGAAGTGTAGTGGCAATATTTGCAATCAGACCCGGCAGCTAATTTGTTCACAAACAGTGAAAGATAACTTTTATCTGGAAGATTGTTGGGCAGGGAAAAAACTGGGAAAAAACTCCCTTCTCTTTTCGAATAGTAATAATAATCCTTGCATTTGATATAGCGCTTTTCACGTCGGGAGGACGTCCCAAAGCGCTTCACAGAACACACTGTAAAGTGAATTGACTGTATATTTGTGGGTGAACGCGGCAGCCAATTGCGCACAGCAATGTCCCACAAACAGTCATAGATTGAAAATGACCAATTTAATTATTGTTTTTGGTTTTTTTTTGGAGGGATTATTATTAGGCTCTGTGTGGAGTAAGGAAACTTGCCCGAGGTTTCGCCTTCTGCCCGGTATTGAACTCAGGTCTCTCACTTGCAAAGCGAGTGCTCTAACCACTGAGCTACAGGACTCCACAGTGACTTCTCTTTAAGGTCCACCTGGCCAGATTCCTTCAGTTTAAAGTCTCATCCGAAAGATGAAGTCAGGTGTGTCAGCCTGGCTCTGAGTCAGAAGGTTATGGGTTCAAGCCCCACGTCAGGACTTGGAATTCATGTTGTCTAAGCTGACGCTCCAACAACAACAACAACAAAATTACATTTGTAAAGCGTCTTTCACGTTGGGAGGATGTCCCAAGGCGCTGGACAGATAGAGTTATGGACCCGAGCTGAGGGTCGGGGTGGGGGAGGGCAGCGGGGGAAGCAGGGAGATTGAAAGCACAGTCGAAGAGGAGGGTCTTGAGGTGGGTCTTGAAGATGGTGAGGGAGGGGGTAAGATGGAGGGACTGCGGGATAGAGTTCTAGATGGTGGGGGCAGAGTGGCGGAAGGCCCGCCGATAGTGGGGCGAGCGAGGCGGGGGACGAGAAGCAGGCCAGAGCCTGCTGAGCGGAGGGAGCGAGCAGGATGGTAAGGGGTTAGGAGGTCGCAGACGTTGGGGGGATTAGCAAGATTAGGGAGGGCTTTGAAGGTGAGGACCAGGATCTTGAACTGTATCCTCTGTGAGATGGGAAACCAGTGGAGTCGGGCGAGGATGGGGGTGATAGGGTTGTGGAGCCTGGTGCAGGAGAAGACATGGACTACAGAGTTCTGGATGATCTGCAGCCTGTGGAGGGAGGAGTTGGGGAGGCCGACAAGCAATGAGTTTACATAGTCAAGCCTCGATGTATTGAAGGCGTTTATGAGGGTTTCGGCGGTCTGTGGTGTGAGACAGTGTCGGAGCCGGGAGATGTTGCGGAGGTGGGGTAAGGCAGAGCACAGATAGTGCAATTGTGGGGTAGAAAGGATAGTTGAGGGTCAAACAAGACCCCAAGGTTCCGGACTGGTCGAGGGGGTGACCACGGACATGGGTGGATGTGAAGGGAGAGGTTGAGGGAGGAGATGAGGGAGGAGAAATCATCCTAGGTGATTTCAACCTTCACTTCACCCCCAAATGATAGAGCAGAAGGGGGTGAAGTGAAGGTTGAAATCACCTAGGATGAGAAGGATCGGATGGTGGAGATGTCAGGGATGAAGGTGTGCGAGGGCTTGTGGGGGCGGTAGATAAGGAGAATTTTGAGGGAAAGGTTGGAGGGGTGATAGAGAGTAAGGTGCTGAAAGGAGGGCAAGGTTTCAGAGGAGGCAGGGGATAGGCCGAGGGGGAACCGGGAGATGAGAGCCACTCTGCCACCACGGCGGTTGATCGAGGGTGTGATGGACGGTGTAGCCGGCCTCAGTCTGGGGGAAGGTGTCACCTGAAGTAATCCCATAAACAACAACAACTTGTACTTATATAGTGCCCTCCACGCAGGTTAGCGTCTCAGAGCGCTTAATAGTGGCGGAGCCTGACTCTGAGCCAGTGCAGTGCTGGGGGGTGTTGGGGGGGGGGGGGGGGGGGGTGGGTGTTGGTGGGATGGGAGCAAGTTACATTGCTGGAGGCACCACCTTTCGGATGAGGTATTAAACCAAGCCCCATCTGCCTGTTCAAATAAACTGAAAGAGAAGAGTTTCTCCCGGTGTCCTGGCCAACAATCCCCCAAATAAAATTGTTTGTTCACTTCATGGCTGTTTCTGAAACATCACTGTGCCAAATTGGCTGCCACATTCACCCACAAAGCAGTCCCTGCACATTCAGTATATCCTGTGAAATGCTTTGGGACGTCCTCCTGATATGAAAGATGCTCTACCAGATGAAAGGATTATTATTTTATTATTATTAATAATAATAAGGCTGCACCTCCAACAATACAGGTCCGCGCTCCCCCCAGCACCTCATTGGAGTGTCAGCCTAGGCTTTGAGTTCAAAGCCCAGTGTGGGTCCACAACCTTCTGACTGAGAGGCAGGAGCTACCAACTGAGCCAGGCTGACACTTGTGATGGTGGATCAATTGTCAAACGATAATTTTGGTTATCATTGGTCCTTGCCAGCCAATGATTGTCATCACATTAATATAGGTGAAGGCAAGGTCCATAGTGCAACCTGAAGCAAAAGTCACGTGAGAGAATTCCTGAGAGTAAAATTGCTGATGCACCTTTTTTTTTTTGTCGGTCACAAAGCTTTTTTTTTTGTCACCGCACCATGATTCAATCAGGAAGTTGTAGGTTCACGGGAAACCCTGAAGCTAAGTAGCAGAGCAGTTCTTTTAATAGAAATCAGGCACTTTAACTGCCTTTAAGAAAATCCCTCAATGTCAGGAACTCCAGGCAGAGTGTTAATCAAACAATTTCAAGGTGACAATATCTCAACCTATAACACAGTTAAAGATATAGGTCTCAAAAAGCATAGGTGCTGCTCTCTCAAAAACTGCAGGATGTCAGTTTTAATGCAGTTCCTCCTTGCCCCCCTCTCCTTTTCAATCTCCTTGGAAAGATCTGAATGTCCACGACAACAACTTGTACTTATATATTGCCTTGCAAGCTGGGTGACTGTCTTGAAGTGCAGACTGGGAGACAGAAGGAAGAATTCAGGATGTTTACCAAAAGCACAGTCAAATAGATGCATGTTTTAGGAGGTCGATATGTTTGAAGACAGAGAGAGTAAGAATCTGAAAGAGAGTTCCAGGGAGCTGGACAGATAGAGTTACACCTTTGTTACCTCCAGACTAGACTTCTCAATAAAATAATAATCCTTGTATTTTATACAGCGCTTTATCACATCTTCTAGATGTCTTAAAGAGCGTCACAGAATATACTGTAAAGTGAATTGACTGTATATTTGTGGATGAATTGTGGCAGCCAATTGCGTACAGCAGCGTCCCACAAACAGTCGTGGTTTGAAGTGACCAATTTATTATTGTTTTTTTTCTTGACGGATTATTATCAGTCGTGTGGAGTAAGGCAGCTTGCCCAATGTTTTCCCCTTCTGGGAATCGAACCCAGGTCTCTTGCATGCAAAGCGAGTGCTCTAACCCACGAGCTACAGAACAAACACACTCCTTGCCAGTCTCCCACTGGCTCAGCATCTCCCAATGGACCACTTTTAAGATCCTCAACCTCGCCTCTAGATCCCTTCATGCCCTCACACCTTGCCATCTACACCACTCTTCTGCTCGCCCCATCCTCCGACTGCGTAACTCAGGTCTCCTGCATGTCCCCCAACCCCTCTGCACTCTGTAAATATTAATTTGTATTGTGTAAAGGATGCTATAATAAATGCAAGTTGTTGTTGAAGTCAGTGCCAAGAAAATGGGACAGAGGGAGTGAGGGATGAGAAACAGGTAATAATAATAATCCTTGCATTTGATACAGCGTCTTATCACATCTTCGAGATGTCTCAAAGCGCTTCAGAGTGAGAAGAGTGGCGAGTATGGGAAGGAGAATAAGGTAAGAAAGACAACGTAGAAAGATAAGGCAAGACCGTGAACTGATCTGAAGGTCAGAACCCGTATAATTCCCATTGTTAATTACCAATGCAAAATCTTGATATCACTCCAGGCAGGCAACAACAACAACAACTTGCATTTATACAGCGCACTCACGTGGGGTAGCGTCCTGGAGCGCTTGACAGTGATCGAGTCTGACTCCGTGGCAAGGGGGAGAGGGAGGTGGGGAGGTGACCGTGAGCACAATCAAAAAGCAAGGTCTTTACGCGAGATTTGAAGTGGGGAGGGAGGGGGAAAGGCGGAGGGATTGAGGGAGAGATTTTCAGGGCATAGTGGATGAAGGCACGGCCACCGATGGTGGAGCGGAGGGGACGAGGGACAAAGGGTCATGGCTCATAGTGCAAGACACCACAACTGCGAGCAGAATAGATAAATAACGAGATTGGTCATTTTATGGAAATTGGACTCTGACCTTCAGTATGATGTCTCCTTCCTGCAAGACTCCATCCTTTGTTGCAAGGCCACTCGGGGACATGTGCTTAATGTAAACCTGACTCCCCAACCTCAAGCCATATTCTGGGGGAGAAGAATAGTACAAGCTGTTAGGCTGAAAGAGTTGACGTCAAAGATTACGACATCCCTGCAACCATCAAGGAGATATTTAACAACAACAACAACAAGATTTCATTTATGGAGTGCCTTTCACATTGGGAGGATGTCCCAAGGTGCTGGACAGTTGGGTCAGGACCCGAGCAGGGGGGAAATGGTCAGGGTGAGGGGAGGGAAGGGAGGGAGCGAGGAGGGGGTAGAGAGTCGAGAGCGGAGCTGAACACACGGTCAAAGAGAAAGTCTTGAGACCGGCCTTGAAGGAGGAAAGGGAGGAAGCGGCGAAATCACTGGGAGATAGAGTTCCAGAGCCTCGGGGCTGAGAGGCTGAAGGCCCGGCCACCGATGGTAGGGCAGTTAGGGCGGGGAATGTGGAGCAGACCGGAGCCAGGGGAATGGAGGGTACGGGCAGGTAGGTAGGGGGATAGTAGGTCGGAGAGGTAGGAGGGAGTGAGGCCGTGAATGGCCTTGTAGGTGAGGATGAGGATCTTGAATTCGATTTCTGGGGGATGGGGAGCCAGTGGAGGGAGCGAGGGCGAGGGTGGGAGTGATGTGGTCGCGGTGTCTGGTGCGGGACAGTACACGAGCTGCAGAGTTCTTAATGACCTGCAGTGTGGAGGGAGGGCCGGGAAGGCCGGCGAGGAGAGAGTTCCCATAGTCCAGCCTTGAGGTGACAAAGGCGTGGACCAGAGTTTCAGCCGCGTGAGGGGTGAGGTAGTGTCGTAGTCTGGCGATGTTCCGGAGGTGATGGAAGGCGGTGCCAGTTGTGGTGCGGATATGAGGGAGAAAGGACAGCTCAGGGTCGAACAGAACCCCGAGGTTCCTGACTGGCTTTGAGAGGTGCGGCCTTGGAGTGCGGCCTTGGAGCTGATGCTGTCAGCGCCTGAGGTTTGAAAGCTGTGGCCGCGTAATTGCTGCAATCCACTTGTCAGCCTCAGGGCCAATTACTTATCTATTGCTTGGCACCAGGTCTATTAATACTAATAGTACTTAAATTTGATATAGTGCTTATTGATATCATGCCATTAAGACGTCTCAAAGCATTTCACAGATTATATTGTAAAGTGGATTGACTGAGTATTTTGTGGGCAAACATTTAAGTAATTACTTTAGTTGATTAAAATATTTGGTTAAGATTTCAGAGTTGGCCGATAAAAATCAAATATTGAAGTAAAGTTTGCAATTGCCGTTTGTAATAATGTTCAATATTGTGATATAATTCACATTGTTAATTACTAACACAAAATTTTGATATCACTCTAGGCAGGCGAGAACAACAACAACATGCATTTATATAGTGCCCTTCACTCGGTGTAGTGTTCCGGGTGTGGCGTTCCTCAGGGCTCTGTCCTTGGTTCCCTCCATTTAATATCTACGTGCTCTCTCTTGGTGACATCATTCACAGACATGAGGGCAACTTACATACCCAACTCTACCTCTCTGCCTCCACGCCTGACTCCAGGGACCGACCCACTGCTGTGCTGACAGAATGTCTGATGGACATCAAGTGCTGGATGAGAACTAACTTTCTTCAGTTGAACGTCAAGAAGACTGAGGCTCTCCTGATTGTCTCCCGTCAGCACCTCTTCACCTCAGGCGCTGACAGCATCACCTTCCATGGTTGCACACTCCACCTCACTGAGCCAGTCCAGAACCCTGGGGTCTTCTTTGACCCTCAATTATCCTTTCTACCCCACATCCGCGCCATGACCCGCTCTGCCTTCCCCCACCTCTGCAATGTCGCGCGGCTCCACCACTGTCTCACACTGCAGGCCGCCAAAACCCTCATACATTACATTTCATTACATTGAGGCTCGATTATGCAAACTCCCTGTTGTCAGCCTCCCAAACTCCTCGCTCCACAGGCTGCAGATCATCCAGAACTCTGCAGCCCATATCCTCTCCTGCACCAAACTCCATGACCCTATCACCCCAATCCTGGTCCGACTCCACTGGCTTCCCATCACACAGAGGATGCAGTTCAAGATCCTGGTCCTCACCTTCAAAGCCCTCCCCTACATCTGTGACCTCCTAACCCCCTACTATCCTGCCCGCTCCTTCCACTCAAAGGGCCCCACTCAATAGGCCTTCTGCCACTCTGCCCCCACCATCTGGAACTCCATCCCGCAGTCCCTCTGCCGCGCCCCCTCCCTTACCTCCTTCAAGACCCGTCTCAAGACCCTCCTCTTCGATCGTGCTTTTGATCTCTCTGCTTCCCCCACTGCCCGCCACCCTCCCCAACCCTGACCCCCAGCTTGGTTCCGAATATCTGACTGTCCAGCTCCTTGGGACGTCCTCCCTACATGAAAGGCGTTATACAAATATAATTGTGTTGTTGTTGTTGAATTCAGGGGAGAGCTTCTATGTGGAGAAACTAAATGCTCTCTTTCAGGTTTCTCAGACGGTTGCTTCCGAGTCAATAGGTTGTGGATTCAACCTCTGATGACCAACTTTGCGACTTTACACACTTACAGGAGTGGCGAGTTAGGCCTGTGTATAAATACATAAATAAATGTTGCCGGGATACTACTACTAATAATAATCCTTGCATTTGATATAGCGCTTTTTCATGTCTTTTCGACGTCTCAAAGCGCTTCACAGAATAGACTGTAAAGTGAATTGACTGTATATTTGTGGGAGAAATGCAGCAGCTGATTGCGCAGAGCAATGTCCCACAAACAGTCGTGGATTAAGTGACCGATTTTATTATTTTTTTTGAACAATTATTATTAGGCGTGTGGAGTAAGGAAACTTTTGGCCCTGCTGGGAATCGAACCCAGGTCTGTCGCTTGTGAGGCGAGCGCTCTAACCACTGAGCTACAGGACTCCTATATTGACACCAATGATTACTTAAGTGGTAGTGACAAGTTAAGTCAGGATCCAGTTATCAGGAGTTTACTGTGAATTGTATTGTATCCCAGAGAGAAATAGCCGGCTCTCGCCGAGAATGAAGACCAGTCTGGTAGTCAGGGTGTTGGCCTGTGGAAAGCCTTTACAAGAAGTGGGGGTGGGTAACAGAACACGGATTGACACGGACTCCACGTCCCCCGGCCCAACCGCCCGACCATCGGTGGTCGGGCCTTCAGCCTCTCAGCCCCGAGCTCTGGAACTCCATCCCCCAGTGCCTTCGCCGCTTCCTCCCTTTCCTCCTTCAAGGCCGGTCTCAAGACCTTTCTCTTTGACCGTGCCTTCAGCTCCCTCTCGACTCTCTTCCTCCTCCTCGCTCCTCCCTTCCTCCCTCACCCTGACCATTTCCCCCCTCCTCTCTCCCTCCCTTCCTCCCTCACCCTGACCATTTCCCCCCTGCTCGGGTCATGACCCAACTGTGCAGCGCCTTGGGACGTCCTCCTGACGTGAAGGGCGCTCTATAAATGGAATCTTGTTGTTGTTGTTGTTGTTTGCTCTCCGTTGGAACTGTGACCATTTGGGACCTCAATTGTTTCAGGTCAGGAATAACGCAGCCTCCCTCGTTCAGTGATACCCTCAATGTAACGTGTTTGAATTCTGATGACGTTACTGAACCTATAAAAACACTGACAACAAAGTAGTGCTGAACAAGCACTGGGAATCCTTCAACAGCAACTACTACACAGGGCTTTTTATTTGGTCAGCCGCGGGTCTGACACACACGGAAACCCACATCACCGTGCTTATAATAATCCGTGCATTTGATGCAGCGCCTTATCACGTCTTCGAGACGTCTCAAAGTGATTCACAGAATACACTGTAAAGTGAATCAACTGTATATTTTGTAGGGGCGAAATCTAAAAATATATAAAATCATTTTTTTGATGTAACCTCCTGACATGAAACACACCATATTTGATACAAGGATTATTAATTAGTATTATTATTATTTAGTTATGTTGAACATTCTCAGGTGTTCAATAGGTAACATGGTACAGAGTGCCCTCTTCACAGTAAACACAGTAACTACACTGAGGAGGTTGCTGTAGGTTTGCTCAGTTTGTACTACTCTAACAACAACAGCAAGAACAAATTACATTTGTATAGCGCCTTTCACATCGGGAGGACATCCCAAGGCGTGGACAGTCTATAGCATTTCAGACCCGAGCTGGGGTCAAGGGGGAGAAGTGAGGGGAGGGTTAGGGGGGTGACCAATGGCATGGTCGAGGAGGAGGGTTTGGAGGCGGGACTTGAAGGAGGCTAAGGAGGGGGCGAGGCGGAGTGATTGGGGGATGGAGTTCCAGAGGTTGGGGGCAGAATGGCTGAAGGCTCTCCCGCCAATGGTCGGGCAGGTGCGTTGGGGGAGCAGGCCGGAGCCGGCTGAGCGGGCGGGTTGGTAGGGGGTTAGGAGGTCCCAGAGGTAGGGTGGGGTGAGGCCAATGAGGCTTTTGTAGTTGAAGACCAGGATTTTGAACTGGATCCTCTGAAGGATAGGGAGCCAATGGGAGTCGGTGAGAGTGGGGGAGATGGGGTCACGGAGTTTGGTGCAACATAGTGCAAAACAATACTTTTATACTACAGTAGAATATCGTAACGTAAAACCACCAAAGGTGTCCTTGCCATTTGCCGACACAGTACGACTTTCACAAGAACCACACTGATTTGCTCTGATTTGGGGAACGTTAAGGTCAGATGATGAAGGCCAAGGTAGGGGTCATGAACAAGTCCTATTGCTATCAGAAGCAGCACATTTCTGAGTGTCAACAATTCCCAGATCGCCTTTCACATGCTCACCTTCGTTTGGATTTTGTTTAACCAGGACACTCTGGATGGGTTTATTGAAGGTAAGGTCACTGTGGCTGTTGTTGTGGTCCAGCTCATCATGGTGACTCCTCTTTGGGTAGCGTTCTCTGTCACCGGTATATTCCCGGCTGGAGCTGTGGCCTCGATCGTCGCTCCTCCTGGGACTCAGGCCTCGATCGTGGCTCTTCGCTCGCCGCATAGGGCTCAGCTCTTCATCATAGCCGCGGTTGGAACTGAGTTGATCGTAACTCTTGGCACGATTTATCCCTTGATCATAGCTCCGAGGGGGACTGCGGCCCTGGTCATCACTCCAAGAGGGACTCCGACCTCTGTCATAGCTTCTGGTGGGACTGTGTCCCCGGCCATAGCTCCTGGTCGGACTGCGGCCTCGTTCGTAGCTCCGTGTGGAGCTCCGGTCTCGGTCATAGCTTCCATCACTGCTGGGCTCTCGGGAATGGTTGTGGTGGTTATAGTCAGGTCTGTGATTTGGGTGGTCAGCGTAGAGGTTTTGGTTCTGAGCCCTTCGCAGGTTCCTGTTGGGATCATAGTCCTCGTCCTCGTCTGAGGCATCGTCACTCCGCGGCGGGTCCGAGTGGAAGGATTGGCTGGAATAATAGGAGTTGGCAGGTAGTTCTCGATTGACCACTACCTTCCGAGACCTCTTTATGATCTGAAACAAAAGAGAATGTCATCTCATGAGACGGGACAAGATCAGCCTCATCCCAACTAGCTGGTGGTAACTGTACTTGGGAATGGCAGTTAGTCAATAACGTAAGACAGAGGCCGACTCATCAAGTTAGTGAAGGTTATACAGACTAGGTTTGGTCCTGAGCAAAGCTCACAGAAGGAGCGATGATAGAGACTCACTTGGTCTCAGAGACACTGAATTTTGAAGAGGTGGGCGAGGGGGAAAATTATTCAGAATTCCTGCTTTCTAAGCGCTGTCCAGTGCAATCCCCCTGCCCCCCTCCCCACCCCCCCAATCCTGGGAAATATACGTGTATCCATGTCAGATTACAATGGGAATGGGCTCAGTTAGGCTTCTCTTCCCTCCGTGCTCTTCCCCTCCATTCACAGAGCTGCACATAGTAATATTTGAATTTGGTAAAGCACCATGAAATGAAGTGAGTGACCAATTTTATTTGGGGGATTGTTGGCCAGGACACCAGGAGAAACTCCATTCTCATTTTGAATAGAGCTTTTGGATTTTTAACGTCCACCTGAACAGGCTGCTGGGTCCTCGGTTTAACGTCTCATCCGAGAGATGGAACCTCAAACAATACAGCACACATTGTATTGGAGCGTCATCTTATAATTCGGGAGTTCCAAGTCCTGACGTGGAGCTTGAACCCACAAACTTCAAACTCAGAGGTGAGGGTTACCAACTGAGCCAGGATTAACACATTTAAGGGCAACATTAACTGTCTCAGTGTTAATGTCCAGCTCTCTAAAGCAATACAGTTAAATGGATTTGTGAAGTTAAACAAAATCTTTACCACACAGCCATTCTGGACAGTTTGATACTCACAATATTCACAGCCTTTCCACAACTTTTCAGAGTCTGGATTGAGAAGAACGAGGTCACATTTTCCATGGAAACTCCATTCACCATAATAATCTTGTCATTGATCCTGAAAAGGGACAACAACTGGAATTACAGGAAGCATCGCAGCAAAGGGCCAGGCCGGGTCTCAGCCCTTCATCTAGACATTGAAAAGAGAAAGCTCTTTTTGGAGAACAGAGCAACCATGTGGAAAAGAGCCAAACTGTTCTCAAGACCTACACTTTTTGACCCATTGACTAGGGTTACAATCAATATAAGAATAATCCTTGCATTCGGTATAATGCCTTAATCATAGAATCATAGAATCATAGAATGTTACGGCACAGAAGGAGACCATTCGGCCCATCGAGTCTGTGCGGCTCTTTGATAGAGCAACTGACTTTTATTAACCCCACTCACCAGCTTTCTCCCCATAACCCTGCAAACCTGTCTTCTCCAGATACCTATCCAATTCTCTCTTAAAAGCTGTTATCGAATCGGACTTCACTGCCCTTTCGGGCAGATCATTCCAAATTCTCATTTGGAGTCACAGACACACCTACCAGCGGAAACAGCTTTTCCCTATCTCGCCTGTCGAAACCTTTCATGATCTTGAAGACCTCTATCAGATCCCCGCGTAACCTTCTCTGCTCTAATGGGAAAAGTCCTAACTTCTCCAGCCTGTCCTCATAGCTAAGGTTCCCCATTCCTGGTATCATTCTCGTGAATCTCCTCTGCACCCTTTCCAGTGCCTTAATATCCTTCCTGAGGTAATGTCTCAAAGCACTTCACAGTATTTACTGTAAACTACGGTGACTGTGTAGGCAAATGTAGCAGTGAATTTGTTCAGGGCTGTCTCTCATAAGAGATCTTTAATGCCCAGCTTGCCAGGCAGACAGGACCTAGGTTTAAAGTCAGAAGGATGGTACCTCCAACAATGTGACATTGGAATACTCCTCCCCCCGCCCCCCCCACCACCTACAGGACTGTATTAGAGTGTTAGGATAGATAGACTACGTGAGTTCAAAGTCTCAATACGGGGCTTCAACCCACAACCTTGTGACTTGGAGATGAGTGTTACAGATTGAGCCAGGTTTAGTTGATCGGAGAGATTGCTTTACTTACATCATTTTTCCAAAGGCAGGTCCTTGAGGAACAACATCTGTCACTAGAATAGCTGGGTCTCCATTGGCGGGGTTGGGTTTATCCCTTCCTCCAGAGATTGCAATACCAAAGCCAATTCTTGGATCCTAGAGTGAAATACAGTACAGAGGATTAAGAGGCAGGTCAGAGCCGTAGGGAGGTCGTTTAAACAGGATAAGGAAGAAGTACACCTGGTAATTTTCTCCAGTGAAGCAGAAGTCATTTGCCAAGACTAACAATTCCCATGGATCACTGAAGTCTGAGTGACGTCAAACAGGTAACGGTAGGAGAGGAGCCTGAGGCTCCTGGCAATCTGTGTGTTCACTCATGCACACCTGCACAGTCCCCCCCCTGACGTGTGTTGGATCACTGACTGAGACCAGACAACACTGAGACAAGTGTTCTCTGGGTCCATCTCAAAAGTAATACCAAAGCAATTTTTTTTCTAGAAAAAATTACACTTTTTAATTTATCTCCTTGAGTTGCTCTATCCCTGGGGGGGGGGGTGCAGCATCCAGCCTAGTGATATGCAGCTCAATTTACACTCTACAAGAACAGGGTTGTTTTATTTTGTGTGTGTGGGGGGCACAAGAAAGCACAGATGATGTGGGTAGATTCTTATATTAACTATTAAACATGGCTGAATTCCTCATCGAATCAGACACAGCTAATGATAATAGAGGGCTGATTATTACCTTGTGTAAGGTCACTGTGAATGGCTCCCATATTATTTCCTCCATGACTGTGGACTGTAAAGGAATAAGAAACACTGTTAAAATGAAAAGCTGTATGCAACTACTTAAGTAACATTTTGTACCTGCTCACATCACGTACCTCCCCTCCAAAGACATTTACATTCTTGTTCCTTACCAACAACTTTTTATAAATTGCTAATCCCACCTCCACCACCCATTCCTTCTACCCACCCCCCAAACACCCAAAGACCTGCTTATGCTGGGACGAGGTTATTTCTACCCCAGGCAAGACCAGCTGACACAGACCGCCTAGGCACACATACATACAAACATACAAACAGTCACCACACTGTACGGTAAATCCTGTGAAGAGCTTTGGGATGTGCTGTAGCATTCTTGCCTCTAGGTCTGAAAGCTGTGGTGTTGAAGCCCCACATCGGGACTTGCAGCTGACAAGTCTAGACTGACGCTGCATCACAACAACAACAACTTGCATTTATACAGCACCCCTCACACTAGGTAGCGTCCCAGTGCTGGAAGGAGCTCTGCATTGTTGAAGCCCCTTTTGATGAGATGCTAAACTGAGTCTGCCTGTTCAGGTAGTTGTTAACGATCCTGCGGCACTACTCAAAAAGAGAAAGCAGTTTCTCCCGGTGTCTTGGCCCACTATCCCCCAGATACAATTAGTCATTCATTTCCTGGCTATTTTGGGGACGTTGCTGTATGTGAATTGGCTGCCACGTTCACCTACAAAGTACACATTCACTACACGTTAGCAGAGACTCTGTGAAGTGCTTTGAGTTGTTTCATTGATGAACTGAGGCATTACATCAAATGTAAGGATTATTTATATTATTTTTGCCAATAACATTGCCTTTTTAAAAAAAAACATCAATAGAAACATAGAATTATACAGCACAGAAGGAGGCCATTCGGCCCATCATGTCTTGCCGTTTCTTTGAAAAGAGCTTTTCCAAATCAAACCCACTCTCCCGCTCTCTCCCCATAGCTCTGCAAACTTGTCCTCCCCAAATAATTATCTACTTCTCTCTTAAAAGCTGTTATCGAATCGGTTCCCACCGGCCTTTCAGGCAATGCATTCCAGATCCCAACAACTCGCTGTGTAAAAACATTTCTCCTCACCTCCTCTCTGTTTCTTTTCACAACTATTTTAAATCGGTGTCCTCGGGTTACCGACCCACCCGTCAGTGGGAATAGTTTCTCCTTGTTCACCCTATACTATTTTAATACTGTATCAAAATTTTAAAATCTACAAAATTGACAGTAATTACCCTTGTACCGCTTCGCGACTTCGCCATGAGAAGATGCTATAAAAATCCAAGTTCTTTACTGCTTCACTGCTGAACAATTTCTGGAGTGGTTTTCGGTTGCTGCCTGGTTTACTGTAGAAGGTTTACACAGAGTGGCAGGAAATGCCACACACACACACACACAGCCCTCCAATTGGACTATATCTGTGTAATGGCAGACACTCCCAAAAAGAGATTGAAATTCCTGCCCAACTCCCTCAGGTAATGGAATAAAACAATCCAGGATTGCAATCTTATCCTCGCAATCTACTCCATTTAATGTTGACCAATAGCATTCCACACATAACATTGCCATTATACCAACAAGACTGGAACCAAACGCCTGAACACGATATTCAGCCCTGCAGCCCTGTCTAACACCTACAATTTGTTCGCAACCAATTCTCCTTTGAAAAGAGTTAATCAACTTCAGTCAATCGCTGTACCTGTGAGAGCCTCATCATGACTGATCTGTACTTCAGCTCTATTTACCTGCCGTTGCTCCATATCCCTTGATGCCCTGACCTAACAAACATCTATCAGCCTCAGTCTTGAACATTTGAATGGATTCAGCACGCATAGCCTTTTGGGGGAGAGATTTCCACTTCCCTTTGTAACTCACACCATTCAAATGTTGGTAGTTCCTGTCTCTACGTTAGACGTTTGGGGGTTTTGGCCCCATGCCACAGGTTGGTACTGTGCTCCAATGCAGTGTTGTTCAGCGCTGATGGTCAGAGATTAAACGGTTAAACTAAAGTCTCATTTACCTGGACATTAAAGATCCCACAACACTATTTGAAAAGAGAAGTTTCTCCTGACCAACAATGCTCTAGAAAATTGGCCAGCTATAAAAACTCAAGATACTGGGGATGCTGATATGGTTAGGCTCCTGAAACCACAGAACACACAGAACTTCCTGCTTGCATTTGATATGCACAGTACCTTTCAGATTGAGAGGACTTCTCAAAGTGCTTCACAGGATTTATTGTAAAGTATATTTTGTAGTCAAACACAGCAGCTAATTTGCACACACCAAAGTCCCACAAGCAATGGTGAAGTGAATGACCAATTTTATCCAGGGGATTGTTGGACAGGAGAACTCCCTTCTTTTATCATGGAGGGTCATGGGGTCTTAAAAATCCTCCTGAACAGGCAGATGGGACCTCGGTTTGATGTCTGATAAGATGTCTGAGAGCTGAAATACAGCATTTGCTGTGGATTTCCTATAGAGGTTACTCCCCAGTTTTACCGTGTGCTTCTCAGACTGAACAGCATCACAGTCTGGTAGCTTTACTCCTGGGGATTGGGGAGTGGGGGCGGGGGGGTAGGATGTGGTTAGTGGGGTGGGGGGCAGCAGGCTCGGTTGATGTGACCTCTGTAGAATAGTTAGCAGTTTAAAAAGAAGGCAGTTATGCAAACAACCGCTCATAAAACAATATAACAAAGATCCCAGGCCAGACAGGAAGCCTGGAGTTGGATTTCCTGGTTGTGCTGCAGGTTACAATATATCAGACAAAACCCAGCAACTGTCTCCTTTCTGAACTTAAAACAACTACAACAACAACAACGTACATTGATATAGTGCCCTACACACAGGGTAGCGTCTCAAAGCGCTCAAGAGTGGCAGAGCCTGACGCCAAGCAGCGGGAGTGGGGGAGGTAACCGTCATCACGGTCGAAAGGGAAGGTCTTCAGTCATGATCTGAAAATGGGGAAAGAGGTGGCAAGCGAAGGGATTGGGGGGGGGAAGAGTTCCAAAGGTGTCATGGCTGAAAGCATAGCCACCGATGGTGGATCGGAGGGGACGAGGGACAAGCAGAAGGCCAGAGCCAGCCGAGCAGAGGTGGCGGGTGGTGGAGTAGGGGGGTTGCAGGTCGGAGCTTAAACATTAAGTAGGTTGCGGACTGGGAGAGAGGGCTGGCACTGCTGGCATGGACGAAGAGGCAAATGCTGGGTTTTCTGCATTATCTTGAATGTTTTATAGATTTTAGTGCTTCTGAACTCTGGAGTTATTAATCTCACATTAACTTCCTGCAATTTGTATACCTCTGCATCTCAGAGAGAAATTCATCATTTGTGTATTGCCTGAGAGGCAAATGATTGTATCAGAGAGAGAGCGAAAGAGAGTAATGTCGCCTTAGGGAAGGCATTATAGAAATGTGATTTGTTTGCTGTTGTTATTGTTACTTTTAGTTATTACTGTATGAATATGGAGTATTTGAGTGGGGAAGAGAGCAGCATAGTCAAGTTCGATCCCTGTTGTCCCCGCAGCCCCCCCCCCACATACACACACACTCTAGCGAGGGATCTCTGGAGAGCGATCAGGATTTTAAATCCCTGACTGGCCCACGGGCACTGAGGCCAATTGTGTTGTGGCCCCGACCTCTACGCTGCGTGAGATCAGCTGATTCACCACAGTCTAGAAATTAAACCTGTCATTCTCTGCATTTCTCAGTCAGTCACAGTTGGCTGCTGCCTTTACCCACTCACTAAACTCCAGGAGGCACAGACGTACACACTCTCTTCCTGGGAGACTCCGATACAGTACCAAACAGCAGTTTAGACCCAGCCCAAAGATCAGGCTCCTTATACGAGCAGCTTACAGACAGTTTAAAGATCAGCATCACTCCTGTCCTAATGTTAAGTGATTGAGCAGCTCCGGTTATACAGTAACAGTCATACTTGCCTGGTCTAGAAACCTTACAGACATTTTGAAGCTAGTTTTTCGGACTGTAACTGAGGTGCCCCTGGTGTCCTTCCCTCTCACTTGTTAAGTCCTCATTTTGAGATTGTGGGGTGAGGTGTGCAGGGCAGCGCAGGGCAGCCGGCCAGCAGCTCCTAGGCCTGGAGAACAGGGTGTGTGTGTTCACCTGCCACACACAGGGGAATGAGGTTTGTTGGGCTCCAGCCCACAGCCTGCCTCCGCCCCGCCCAGTGACGCCACAACCACACTCACCTGCAGTAAACAAGACGTACCCTTTGGCCCTTTTAAATCTCAGGCCTGATCCTTGCGAGTTTCCACACAGGCACGACAGAGTTCATAATCTGAGCGTTCAATGTTCCATCAAAGTCTCTCCGAGCATTTTGTAGGCAATTGCTGTCAAGCGTAGCGACTGTGTCTACACACAGACGAACCAACAACATTGTCCCACAAACGGCTGTGAAGCGAGTGATCGATTTTATTTGGGGGTTTGTCAGCCAGGACATTGGGAGAGAGAAATTCCCTTCTCTTTTTGTATAGTGTCTCAGCATCTTTAACGTCCCCTGAACAGGCAGACGGAACCTCGGTTTAATGTTATATCGAAGGATGGCACCTCCGACAATGGAGCTCTGGATAGTGACCTCAAAGGCTCGATGTGGGGCTTGAACCCATATCAGTCTGAACCAAAGGAAAGAGTGCTCCTGCTTTTGCACTCAATTCTATATTCTGCTCGCAGCAATAATCTGCCAGATGTGCAAGTCCAGATGTGGACTCACTGAGTGAACCCATCACCTTAAGCAGGAAGGGCTCAGGTTCTGATCTCTAGGCTGTGCTGTGTTAGCTGATCTCACAGCAGATGGGGAGAGAGGAAAGCTTCCAGGTTTCGCCCATAATATACAGTCAATTCACTTTACAGTATATCCTGTGAAGCAGTTTGAGACATCTCGAAGATGTGATAAAGTGCTATATCAAATGCACATCAAATGCACATATTGCACACAGCAGTGTACCACAAATAGTCATTGATTGAGTGAATCCCTC